ATTCGAATATCTTCTTATTAAATAAGAACGAGAATAGCAAGAAGTCTAAGTTTATTAATATCGCTGAGATTAATATAGCGGCTTACTATTAACTAGCCCGTGAAAAAGATAATAAGCTATTTATATTAATAATAAATGAGATCTATAACACGTCGCCTATATCATATACGCCTTCCCCTATTTAAACACCTCGCGAAACTTATATATCGGTTAATAAATCGTATCCCTACGACTTAGAAAAGAAATATAAGAGATATTATAGTTTTAACTACTTTATTTAAATTAATAGCGCTAACGAGGTTAATTCTAAGAAGGTAAAACGTAAGCTATCTACGAAGTATTACGACTATCTCGATATTTTTAATAGAATTAAGATAAATATACTTTCCCTATATCGTTCTTATAACTATAAACTTAAATTTAACAATAACTTCGATAAAATAAAACTTCTAAAAAGTAAAATCTATTTAATATTAGGATATAAATTAAAATAAATAAAGAAGTATCTAAATGAATATCTGAAGAAGGGATTTATAACATTAAGCTATACACTATTTACCTTACTCGTCTTATTCGCGAAAAAGTTAAATGAAAGGTTACGTTTTTATATGGACTATCGAAAGCTAAACGCTATTATTAAAAGAAATTAATACTTAATCTTACTAATAGATAAGATTTTAATAAGAATTTAGAGATATAAATATCTTACTTAATTAGATATTATAGCCGCGTTTAATAAATTACATATATATCTCAATAGCGAGAATTTTATTACTTTTATTATCTTTCTTAAAGTATATAAGTATCGAGTTCTCCCCTTCGATCTAATTAACGGCTTGACTATATATTAATAATATATAAATAATATTCTATTTAAATATCTAAACGACTTCTACTAGGTCTATCTCGATAATATACTTATTTATAGTAAGATAAAAAAGAAATACGTTTAATATATTAGATAAATCCTTTAGAAATTAAGAAACGCCGGCCTTTAGATAAATATTCTTAAGTGCGAATTTCATATTTAGAAAATTAAGTTTCTAGATCTACTAGTATCTATAGACGGGTTATAAATAAACTCTATTAAGATCTAGACTATTATTAAGTAAATTATATCTACTAATCTTAAAGAGATATAGACCTTTATCGAATTTTATAATTTTTATCGACGATTTATTAGAGACTTCTCTAAAATAGTTAAATTCATAATAAAACTTACGGTAAAGGAGGTTATATTTAATTGGTCTCTAGTATATTAAGAGATCTTCTATTTTCTTAAAGTCGTCGTTATTAAAGCTTTAGTTCTATATTATTTTAATAGAATAAAGAAGATTATTCTAGAGACTAACTCTTTCAACTATATTAACGAAGATATTCTTTCTTAATATAACGATAAGGAAGTACTTTACCCGATAGCCTTCTATAGTAAAAATCTAACCTCGATCGAGTATAATTACTAGATCTACGATAAGGAATTACTAATAATTATTCGCTATCTAGAATACTAGCGCCCTAAACTAGAATATACGAATATCTCTATTAGAATCTTTATCGATTATAAAGAACTAATATATTTTGCTAAGAGAAGAAATCTCAGCCGACGTTAGGCTCGATATTTAAATATATTATTAGAATTTAATATAAAGATTATTTATTAGTCTAAATCTTAGAATATTAAGATCGATATACTTATACGAATAGCTGAATATAAATTAATTAATTTCGAGGATAAATGATTACGTTAATAGTATTAAATAATTCTTATCTCTAATTAATTGAAATTAGATGGCGAATATATCGATATATATATAATTAATAATCTTATCTACTATAAAGTAGTAGAGATTAATAAAAAAGATAAATATTATATAGAAATCCGTGAGGCTATCGTCGAAAATAAGAATAAGTTTTAAGGGATTACTCTTAGTAAATACTTCGTATAAAACGAGATGCTTTATTATAAGAATCGTTTATAAGTGTTCGATAATATATATATCGATATTATCTAAGAGGTATACGATTAATTATTCTATAACTATCTCGAGATAGTATATATTTATAAACTACTTAAAAGAAAATATTATTAGCGAGATATAAGAGTTATCGTAACTATCTACATTAAGAATTACTATATTTATTAAAGAACTAAGACGTCTCGCGATCGAGAGTATAGCTTATTATAGTCTCTATTAATCCTATAAAAATAATAATAAGATATATTAGTCGACTTTATTATAGGCTTACTTATATTCGACGACTATAACGCTATTTAAATAGCGATTAATTAGCTTATTAAGAAATATTACTACGTAATCTATTTTGATATCGATAAAGGTATTATCGCTAAGAAGATAGTTAACTTATTACTTAAGAAAGTATTTCGCCTATATAGTCTATCGGCCTTAATAATATCGAATTAAAACCCTTAATTTATAGCTATTATATGAAAGTCTTTTTATAAGAGACTAGATATTATAGCTAAGCTATTAATAGCCTTTTATTCTAAAATCGATAAATAGATTAAACGAGCGAATTAGAATATAGAGCGTTATTTTTAAATATACTATAATTATATATAGAACGACTAAGTAAGATAGCTATCTATTATCGAGTTCGCCGATAATAATATTATTTTATCGACTATTAATATTCCATCTTTCCTCGCGAATAAGAAATTCTATTCTCGAATAACTTTCAGCTTAGATATTATTAACTATAAGATTATATATAAACGTCTTAATACTACTCGAACGAAGGATATTATAAATTATATAAAATAAGTTCTTAAGTATATTTAAAGTAATATAAATCGCGTTTAGAAGACTATAATTATATAAGTTAATAAGTATTAATAAAAGATTACTTTTTAAATAGACGATAAGGTCTTTCTAAATAGTAAGAATATTACCTTTAATCGTCTTTTCCGTAAATTAAATTATAAGAGACTTAATTTATTCGAGATTATAGGCCTTATAGAAATCTTATATCGTCTAGAACTTCCGCTAATTATAAGGATCTACGACGTCTTTTATCTTAATCTCTTAAGTCTCGCGATAAATAACTCCTTATTAGGGCAGATAAATTCTTCGCTAAAGTATATTACTATTAATAATCGAATCGAATAGATTATTAAGAAAATACTTAATTTTAAATTAATTTATAATCGTCTTAAGTATAAAGTTAAATAAGAAGGTCTCGATAATAACCTTAACTGGTATAATGCGAACGACGGTGAATTCGAAAATTGCTAGAATCTGGTGAACGACTTTTATAAGTGATATCTCGAAGAGCCTTATCTATGAAGGAACTAGGGCGAGGGGCCTTCAATAGCGATAGCGTCTCCGAGCCGAAACTATCTCGAATATCCTATTTTTAGTCGAATTAAAACCGTTCGATATCTTTATAATAGCCTTATTTTTTTCAAAATCGAGAATTAATCTCTTAGATCTATATTAATTAGAAATTATCTTATATATAGTCTTTCGCGTAGGCCTCCGTTACTAATATAACTCTAAAGATCTTTCGAAGCTATACTAGTATATACATAGACTATATTATCGCTATTACGAAATATAATTAATATTAGCGAAATAATATATTATAGAGAAGATTATATTAAAGTTATTTAATATTAAATTAGAGTTTTTAGCGTTTACGGCTCGATTCGGTTTAGAAGCTCTTAATTAATTATATCGTATTATTCTATAGATATTCTATTCGCTTAAATACGAATTCGGAAATTACTATTATTTACCCCTACGTCTATAGATATAATTTTCGCTATATTATATCGATTTTCTTTCGACTAGGTCTTCTATATACGTATATACTCTAGCTAGCGACGTCGCTATAGCGTAAATATAAAAAGCTACTATTATCTTTAATACCTCTAATAAAGAAAGGTACGATGCTAGAGTTCCCGAATACGATTATTTCTTTACTACTTTTATTATTTTTCAGGCGTTAAGCGTATATGTATATCTATTTTTCTATCTTTCTACTTATTAATTATAGAATATAATTTAACGAAGAGAGAGAATAGTATTATAAGCGTACTCTTAATATACTTCTTAGCTCTATAACTAGCGGGCCTTAACGAAGACATCTTCTATTATATTATATCTTCTTCTTATCTATATAATTCGATATCTTAGTTATCTTATTTAATATATCTATATTAATATTACATCTATATCGATTCTAATAAGACTTCGACGTCGTATAAGATATTCTTATTTATTAATATCGCCGTTATTAATATCTAACTTTATATTAAAAGAATAAATTATCTCCGCTTCGCTCTTCGCTCTACTCTTCGCAAATTCGATCGCTATATAATTGCTTATATATATATATACTTACTTACTTATTTATCTGGCCGTCTAAAAAATAAGGGGAGACTGCGATATCTGATCGAAGTAATGAATTAACTGACGAGGCCATAGCATTTTCCCTAATACGCCGTGCCGTCGATCCGGCGAGTACCATAGCGATTACCCTCAGAATATATACTTTAAGAGAATTCCTATATAGTGTCGCGTCTGTTAAGATATATAGTATTCTTAAATATTAGTATCGCTGCTATAGCTGAGTTAGCTGAGTTTTTTAATGAAATGAAATTGGAAGCTTACTTCTTAACCACTGCACCATAGCTCCTAATTTGACGAGGGCCTATTTAACTATTTATTCGACTTTTTTCAAGAATTCCAAAAAAAACCATATCACGTACGGTAGTTGCGCATTTTTGTTAAGGATCATATGTACGCAGGGTGTGAATATTACATATCGGGCAATACAGCAAAAAAATAAGTCTTGGCAGGGTTTCCTACTCAGACCCACCTCAAGGCCGGTGGGGCCAAGCTGAGACTACTGCGCCGCCGTCACTCAAACAATATACGTCTCATCATTGTCGTCATTCGTCATGGGCATCTTCCCGAACTTAGAGATCTCATAGCAGTGACTCCTTCATTCCTTTGCGCTGAGAGAAGCTGGACGTAATGTCTACGGCCACGCCTACAGCTCAAGAGAGGGACCCGAAAGAAGGCTACAAAGACGAATCTTCCGACGCCGATTCCGACTTCGAGAACGACTTGGCCGATCAACAAGCTCGCAACTCCACCGAAGTAGCTGAACACGATCGCGGCCTCCTGGATGAAGAAGAAGAGAGGGAGAAGCTGCTGATAGCTGGAGGTGCACAAAAAACCTCATCGAAAGGCTTCTTCGGCAGGAGACAGAAAGATAAGAAGCTAGCAGAAATTGAGCTCAACGAGAACGAGCGGAAACCTCGAAGATCACACAAGACTAGAAGAGACAAGAAGGGCAGCGGTAAAGATGAAGAGGGCGAGCTCCTGTATGAGATGGAGGAAGGAGGCGAGACCTATGACACAAGTTCGCAGGCTTCGTCCAGCTCCGCAGAACTGGAGAAGCTAAACTTGGCACACTCTTCGATGTCGAAGGTAATTCCGATGAATATCACTGTTGGAACAATGCTGATGCTCCTCTCACAGCGTCGAAAGTGGGCTCTCTGGCACATCATTGCTATATCGATAGCAGCACTCTTCGTAGCCCTCTCATTTGGAGCCTACCAAGTCACCCGAAGCGCTCGTCCAGCACATCTATCTCTCCTCTCCAATGGCTCGTCTACCTTCGCACCTACAACTATCCTCATCTCCCTCGATGGCTTCCGAGCTGACTTCCTCACCCGAGGCATCACGCCGACCTTGAACCAATTCATAGCAGAGGGTGTGTCCCCAAATTACATGAAGCCTAGCTTCCCAAGTGTCACTTTTCCGAACCACTACACCCTTGTGACCGGTCTCTATCCCGAATCCCACGGTGTGGTAGGCAATACCTTCTGGGACCCCGATTTGAAAGCGGAGTTTCACTACACAGATCCAGCAAGAAGCATGCAACCTAAGTGGTGGGCCGGAGGTGAACCACTATGGGTGACAGCGGAAAAGCAAAATGTCAAAGCGGCAATACACATGTGGCCTGGATCTGAGGCTGGAGTGGAGTATGGCGCTACATACGTGGACAAGTTTAATGGGAGCGAGGTGCTGTCTCGGAAGACTGAGCGTGTTCTCAGCCTACTGGATCTCCCCAGTATTGAAAATGAGCTCGTGTCAGAGCTACGACCGCAATTTATAGCTGCTTACGTTCCCAATGTTGACCACATGGGGCATAAATATGGACCTAACAGCACTGAGGTCTGGGATACTATTTCAAACGTGGACATGATGCTGCATGATATCTTCATGGGGCTTGAGGAGCGAAACCTGACAACTCTCGTCAATGTGGTGGTGGTCAGCGACCACGGAATGGCTACAACCTCGACAGACCGTCTGATTCAGCTTGACGACCTAATTGACCTTGACCTCGTGGAGCATATCGATGGTTGGCCCTTGTACGGCCTACGTCCCAAAAATCCTATCGACCTCCGGGGTCTCTATGATCGCTTACTGGTCGAGTCGCAAAGCAGCGGCAATTTTGAGGTCTATCTGAAAGAAAACATGCCTGAAAGGTATCACTTCTCCAACAACGACCGCATTGCGCCTCTATGGGTGATACCAAACACCGGTTGGGCCATTGTCCACAAGGAAGATTTCGATGTGAAGAAAGCAAAAGCGAAAGGCGAGACTTACAATCCCAAAGGCCTACATGGATATGATCATGAGCACCCATTGATGCGTGCGATCTTCGTAGCTCGGGGACCGGCATTTCCACATAAGCCTAATAGCAAGCTCGAGAACTTTCGTCAGTTGTCTACCTTCAATTTTGTCAGAGTGGATCTAACAAGTTCTCAGAAAACACTGAGGTCTACAACATTGTGTGCGACTCAATAGGAATTGAGCCTAAGCCCAATAATGGCACATTCCGCCTGCCACTCAAGCCAATTGGCCTTCACTCCGAAGAGCACACCTCTACAGAAGATGATCTCCCAGGCCTCCCAGCGGAAACCTCTCATATCGATGATTCGCCCACAGAAGCCAATGAGCCCGAATTGGCCGCTTCTCCAGTGGAAACCAATGTCCAGAGCGCCGGAACATCTACGAGCGACATAAAGCCCGTCGATTCCGTCGATACGGATGTTCTCAACGACCCAGCACTACCAGAAGGTACTCCCCAAATGAAGCAAGTTGATATCGTCTTCCAAACTGACAGCTCACAGACGAGGAACAATCAAAAGAGACCAAGGAAGAAATGAACAAATTTTGGGCTCTGGTCAAAGCCAAGATGAAGGCTGCGCAACAGTGGGCGAAGGAGATCATTGCGAATTCGAAAGCAAACCATAAGGGTGCTGCTGAGCAAGGGAGTGAGTCATTTGACCAAGGTGATGCCCCCTCGTAGATTGTTTACCATCGGCGTTTGTTACGATTGGCGGTTGGCTTGGGTTAGGTGCCTTAGCGTTTGTGATCGGCTGATACCCTTGAATTTTGACATGTGAATTATAGAGTCGAGTCGGAGCATACTACCTCTCAAGTTTGATGAATGGTTTCCCAATCACTAAATGATGGGCCCTTGGCATCTGCAAGACCTTCTCAGCCCACGATCAGCCTTTCACAGCTGCGTTTGCATTCTCTGCTCCCAGCTCTCTCAGAGTCGGTGCGCATGCAGACTTTGCGGTACTCTCATGGCTTGGCCTTTCACTGCTTAGTCACAGATTCCATTCAACTTCTCTCTTTGCTTAATTTCTGCTCGACCTGCAATGTCGATCGAGTTCGGCACGTCACTACTCGGCAATCGCCCACATGACTGGCCGTGTTGGCCATTTGCTTGATTCAATACATATATAGTCTCATTCTCTTCTTCCGTAAGACAAAGAACCGGAAGCGATAGCTCCACGATGGCAACGTTTCCGAGTTGGAATACCTTGATGCCTGTATTACCTTCATCTAAGTCGTGACCTGCTTCCATCTTCACACACCGTCCAGTCAATACTTCAGATCTCCAGCTGGCATCTCAGAAGACAGTCGATGCTTATGAAGACGTACCCAATCGGTGGGATGTCCCAGACTCCGCGTGCCTTCTTGGGAACATCGAATGCGTTTCCCTGCGAGGACAAGATGGAGGATATATTCCAAGTTGGTTTTTGAACGATGGAGTATCGATCTGGATGGAGGAACGTCGCGGGGAGAGAGAGGCATTACGCTCACGAGGGAATGGGACGCAAGAGAAGAGTGACCTTCCTCAACAGGTTGCTTCTCTCACCCTTGAGATTTCAGATATATCGCCGCTTACTTGGATCACTTCCTCCAACAGCAGAACAGATTATCTCCTTGCCATCAGATCACCAGCCTACGACGAGTCCTACCACGCAGCCAGACACATCAGGACAGTAGCCAATCCATTCAGAGAACGTGTCAGCTTAATCTGATGCACAGCCAGATTCCCACTCTAGCCTCACCAGTGCTGTTGATTTCGCTCAAGAATCTCAGCCTGACGACTTTTCGGTGGTGGTGTGCAGGAAAGAAAGGTCCAGCCTGATCTTTTCTGCTACGTAGCCACCGAAAAGTTTGTTGAGACAGCTTTCAGACATGAACAGCGCCTTGGAGCCATGTGCTTATTTATTCAAGAGGCAGCCAACAACCACAATGCTTCCACAATGCTATCGCAACTAGTCATTGATTACGCCAAGCCAGGATCTCATCTTTGTCAATGCTCCAGCTGTGCATCTGATCTCACCACGACTTTGAAGGAGTAGCTCTTCGAGGAAATGCAGGACCAGGTCCGAGATCACACTGACATCTCCGACGAATTTCCTCTGCAGCCACGGGAAGGCTTCAATCACTTCGATCAGTGATTCAGTGCGGGCTTCTCCTACCACTTTTCCAGCTCGTGGGACTATCTTGAGCCCGTTGACTCTAGCAGATCTGCTACCGATGACGTTCCAAGAGGCCAATTATCACGAGTAGGTCCTTCGTGAGAGAGCGACCTTCCTTCTTTGGGCGCTATGAGCAGAAAGTGTGATTTCAGGTTATGTACTTGAAACCGTCCAAACGAAGACTCCTTGAGTCTCCCAAAATGCAGATTATGAAACCAAATTCTAGGAGCGAGGATTGGTATAGTGAGGTATGAAGATTTCAGATATTGCCGGATACCAAACAACTTCTCATCTCATACAAAGACGGACTCAGCGACTACTGAATCTTGACCTATGCAAAGCCCAAAAACCTATCGACTGAGCTTTGCACATGCCAATCAGCGACATGGCGATTTCTTTCCCTCTTTTCCCCCCTTCTTTCATGTTCTTGTCATCGAGAATGTCAGAAGTTGCTGGAACGTTTGTTTTGTTGCCCCCGGCTCTCCTGCCCAAGGTGTCACCAGCTCTCATACTCGGGATCTCAATTGCACTTTTCGCGCTCCAGACGTCGATGATGAAGGGAAGACGGCAGCGTCAACGAGGTTGCCTTTGACTACACAATTAGCATACGCCAAGATTCACCGGTCTGCGAACGCAATGTGCCAGCTTTCAGCTTATCGCACAGTCCGTCTCAATTTAGCATGCTACATCAGATCGAAGTCTAAACTCTTGCCGCATTAGTGCTCGCAAACAGTGAGGCCATACACAAAACAACGCATGCACAAGTAGATATGTAGATAGATGATTGGGCATATCCAACACTGGGGCAGCTAAGACCTTTTTGGACATGCAAATAATCCAAAAAAGGCTCCTCAGCGCTAGAAAACTCCCATGTCTAAGCGACATGCCCTGGAGTGAAATAAGGCTATATACAGGTGTGGGTGGGTGGGAGAAAAATGATATGGCTCTGAAAGAGACGAAATCGAATGAAGAGCCATTGACAGATGCAAAACAGGTGGCTATATAGCTCGTACTGGACACCTATCCCCAACCCCTTACCGAGGTATCAACAGGGGTACTAATAAGGGTACCAACACGAACGGCTAATCAAATAGCCATCAACGCTATAGCCTTATAATAGACCCACTAACTCACAGTCCTATTGTTATAATTAGTACTCGCAAATAGTAAGACTATATATAAAATAACGTATATATAAGTAGATATATAGATAGATAATTAGATATATTCAATACTAGGATAGCTAAGACCTTTTTGAATATATAAATAATTCAAAAAAGGCCCCTTAGCGCTAGAAAACTCCCAAATCCAAGATGTCGTTTAAAGAGGGTAAAGGTCTCGAGAAGAACTTCTAACGATATCTATCGCAGTAAATAATAGAGATTAATAGTACTAGCGCGGATGGGCTAAAAGATACTAATATTATAATAATACTCTAAGTATATAAGCTAGGTAAGTAATTATATATAGACGATAGAAATCTAACTTCTAACGATCTAGCAATTAGATCTCGTTATTACTAAGGCCGACGTTATATACTAATATTATAGTCTCTCTATAAAAGAAATAATTTAAATAATAGCTCTTAATACTAAGTGATGTTAATATCTCGCGAAGGTTACTAATAATAATCTCTCTAGTAAAGAAGAAGCCCCTTAGCTAAAATAGCGGTATATTAAATAAGACTTTCTACTTAAAGAGATAATATAAGACTTTAACTACGTATACGTTATTATCTAACATAATTATCGTAAGTGTAATTCTATAGCGAAATAAGTTCGTTTTAGACGCTAAAAGCGTAAATTTCAGATAATCATTAAATAGCCTCACCGAGTAATGTGTAAGAAATCATTTATCGAAGTTCTTCTATTGAAGGTCTCGCTTATTATAAATAAACTCACCTACGCGTAGAAATATCGCGAAGGCGAGATAAAAGAAGATATATAGAGTTACCTCGGTATGAGTTAACTTATTAAAATAAGAAAGAATTTAAAGTAATAAATCCTTAATAATTAGACGCCTTTCTTTTATATCAGCTTCGTTACGAAGATATTAATTATCTATAATAATGCGTTATAACTAAGGATAATAAAATACTAAGAGATTATTAAATTCTATATCTATATAAGCTAACCTAAGACCAATAAGATATATTTTTATAGACTTCGACTTAACGCGGCGAGTACTTAGATTAATAATTTAGCCCGTAAGAGCATTTATAATTACTAAAAAGAGAGATTGAATCTCTATTAATGCGTAATAGATCGTATAGAATCTTACTAAAGTTATATATATCTTTCTAATTTTAATAGCAAGTTCTTATTAGAGAAGTCGTATGGCCTCTCGAGATAGTATAATCTGATTATATTAATATTCTAGTGGGTCTCGCCCTATTTCAGCGGAGATATAAGACCTTTCAGCTATAGATATACGTTAGTAATTTTTCGATATCGAAAATATAATAGATTATCGATTAGCTAATTAGCCTTCGTAGATATTTAAGTAAATACTATTATAATATTATAAGTAGCTACTAGTATAGCTATATCGCGTAATAGGGCTATAACTAGCCTATATATAGAGGATTTACGTAATTCATTAACGTTCGTCGTTATCGCAGTAGAGAACTAAGCGGATTCTTATAATTAATATAGCTAGCTCTATCGCGTAATAGACGGCCTTTATTTCTTTAAATTATATATCTTTAAAACGATAACATATAACTATTTTAATGCTGAAAACGTTTTTAAGCTGATCGATTAAATATAATCAGATAATCGAGAATGTGTTCTTTCCGATATTCTAAACGTATCGATTTATATATATTATATAACTCGATTATCGACGTAGCGTATTAAGGCGACGCTATTTTAGTACTCTAGAAAGATATCCCACTATAGTAAGTCTCCCTCTATCGCCTATAATTTATACGATTATTATAAGCCTTAAAGAGCATTAAAAGTCGCCTTAAGAATACTCTTTCTAAAATCACGACTTTAACAGCGAAAGAGAGAAAACTAATCGCTGACTCGAGCTCCTAATATAAGATATTACCCTTTTAAAGGTTTTTAATCATAATTCTTATCTTAATTAGCTTATCCAAGAGGATCTCGCCTATATATAAATACTATCAATTCGATTCCTAGAAACTTAACTATAAAATCTATAATATTCTTTATATAATTAATTTAAAGGCCTAATTCGCTATATAGTTAATCGAATTATTAAACGTATTAGCTACGTTATTATCTAATAAAAGAATTATAAAGAAATCGTTTAAATAGTAAAGTACTATTTTTATAGAAGAATCGCGATTAAGATTTAAGTAAGAGCCTTTATAAAGAGATTAAATAGAAATAATAATATACGTAATCTAAATAATAGATATTTTCTTTTTAATAGCGTTTATTATAATTAAAACTAAGTAGCTATTAGTTTAATATAGCGACGAATATATATCTAAAGACATCTTTAAGTCTCTTTTGCGAATTAGACCCTTGGCCTTTCTATAATAATACTACTACTACGTTTCGTATATAGCATATTTTAATACACTCTACTTCACCTAGATATCGTTATTAACTAAGTAGCCATATAGGAATAAGAGGTTATAAATTCGTCTCCAACCTTCTTATATTTCGATATTAAATCGAGTGGCGAATAGACGTGTGGCTTATTCTAGATTAACCTCGATTAAGCGTACTGCTAGAGCTACTTTTAGAAATTCGTTAATAATATTTAGAGTGCTTAACGTGCTGATAGATATTTTAACTACGATAGACTAAGATATAGCCTTAAAACCTATCTTAGCGCTCTTCCGAAGAATAACCGAAATAATCTTAATAAATATTAGATTTAGTGATCGTTTAACTATTTAAATTAATTATTAACTATTATAATCTCTAGTAAGTATTCGGTTTAGTAGATTATATAGGCGTATAAGAACCTCTTAGTATGTACTGTAGCGACTGGCTCTGTGTACTCTGAGTTTTCTATCTTAATAATATAATTATCTAATAACAAATGATTAAAACTACTTATAACTGAATTTAAGACTTTAAGTACTTATCTATCGAATAATTTTGCTAATAGATTATATAGATATATAAATAAATGCAGCGCTCGCGAAAATAGCTACCTCTTTGAAATTCTTTAATTTCTTCCTTCGGCGGTAACCTTACTGGGGCTGGGCGTCCGGATTTAACTTGCTATTACTCGCATAAGTCCTTTAAGTATAGAAGGTTCTTATAGCTCTAATTTCGCTTTTGGTCTTGATTATCTTAATTATTCTAAATATGTATAGTAATAAAACGAGGTAATAAGTGAGAATAAAGTTAAATCTTGGTGTAGACAGCCGTGTGACGAATAGCTACGCATATAGGTCTTATTTAAACCTTTCTTCACGCTAACGTATATAAAGCGGCCGCGACTATCGAATATATATAGAAGTAGTATATTATATAATTATAGCCATTAATATCCTTTTTCCTTAGTCGGTAGTTATATATGAGCTAGTTTAACGAAATTTTTGATCTTAAAGATCTTGAGATTTATTTGAAGTACTTAATATTTACACTTCGAAACCTTTTAGCAATACTAAAAAGGCTTCTTCCTTTCTATAACGAGGACCCTCTTCTTTCTCCCGTCCGATTTGGTCGAATAAGTTTAAATCTAATATATCTAAGTAACGATAACGTGACTGCGGTTATAACGGCGGTGGTGGCGATGTAACTTATAACCCTTCCTCGTAAGGATAGCGTTTTTCGCTCCTCTTGCCTTGAATAGCTGGTCTTCATTTTGAAGATCTACTTTGTAACAGGTGGGGCGTTTCTCACCTGGTCGGGCTCATATCCCGATGACGTGTCGTTCGGGTGTCCTCGCGGGGGGGTTTTTGGCCTTAATGGCCTTAAGGCCTTTTTGGCCTTAGGGCCTTTTGACCTTATTGGCTGCGTTAAGGTCTTTTTGTAACCTTAAAGCGGGGGTACACGTTTGTCGCTTTTTGGACCTGGTAGTGGGCGGGGCCTTTGAGTTTAAGAGTATGAGTATGTTTGTGGTAGTTGGATAGTCTTATGGTAGTTAAATAAGGCTATTTATATAGACTCAACTATGAAGAAGAAGAAAATAATATAGCTCTAAAAGAGACGAATCGAATAAGAGCCATTGTAGGTGCAAAACAGGTGGCTTATAGCTCGTACTGGCACCTGTCCCCAACCCCTTGCCGGGGTCCAACAGGGGTCCACGGGTCCAACACACGGCTGATCAAACGCCCCAACGTTGGCCTCTAATGGACCCCTCCCCCCACTTTGCGAAAAGAATCGCAGCCTCCCCAATAGAGGTTTGACTGGAGACTTACTTTTATTCTGTGTTCCGATCCTATCTTCGTCTTTAAGAGCATGTTTACCTCAGGGCATCAATACACGTCTGTCATTTTGACTTTCCAAGCAGTGAGCAATTCCAACCGGGCCTTGCTTTCAGTTCCCAAGATAGAGAAGAGTGTGAATTGGCGTGATCGAGTGACCTTTCAGAGATCCATCATTACAACACCCAATGAGAACTAGATCAGTCGCTCACGGCCTCGACCATGCTATCAGCATGACAATCATCGAGCATCCCCTGGCTACGATCAACAAGAGACTTGTTAGACAATTCCTGTTCTTGTTCTCTCTTTTCCTTCTGCGGAGTGTTTACAAAAATAGCTTTGGATATGTCAAAAGAGGCTTTTGTCCCCGAATTGAGCTCTGCTGTGAAGAACAGGCTGCGTGGTTGAAGTAGGCCTGGATCAACGAGAGGGAATACAGGAAGCAGAGCGAGGGAGAAAGAGAAGCGAGAGAAGGAGAAAAAGAGTAGTGAGAGAAGGAGGAGAGAGGGAAGCGAGAGAAGGGGGAGAAAGTCAAGCGAAGACCTGCACAACTATTCAAACATCCTTTTCCCACCTCATCATGCCAAACCCCAGCAGCCGAGACCGTGCCGCATTCACAGAAATTCTGGACAGTTGATGCACAGAAACATTGTGCTCCCAAAACACCTCATCTTCCGAGCCATGCAGAGCAACCGGGAGTTCGACTCCACGCAAAGGTTACAGAATCTGAAGCCCAGCATACGCAAATAGAGTGAGCCGCTCCGAGGACCTCATCGAACCCAGCAAGGAAGAGCCATGGGCACCTATTGTCTAGTTCAGTGCTTATTTTTTTCACTTCTTAACACCCAACAAGCTCTTGGCCATCATGCTGTATACGCGTGCCCCGACCGTGCATACATATGGAAACAAGTGTACAGGCTGTCACACCCCTAAATTGGGCACTTTTGAGGATCTTGTAGGGGATGTTTACGTCAGTGAGCATGCTTCCTGGAATCACGAGATCTCAATATCTTCTTTTACTGCACAGCGTTTCGGCGACTGTGAGATCAAGTTGAAAGCGGAATATTGTTTCCTTTGTGAGCATGCTATTCTCTACCAATAGTCAAACGTCATAATCGCATATAATGATGAGCACATACCGCAACCCACGTCGAGGGAGGAAATTCTATTCTATCGCTCTCCATTGAACAGGAAAGCATGGCTGCAACGTCTTGCCTTCTCACTGCTTGCAATATTCACAAATCATAGCCAACATCATGACCGTTCAATCGGATGTCGCGGATCCGCCGTTACTTCCAACATCTGCACTTCAGATCCGCCAGTTGATCGGTAGCCTCGATAATGTCGATGAAATCGCTGTCGCTATCAACGCCATTGCAAAAGCCTATCAAGCGAAGACCAACGAGTCCAAGCCCGGCTCACAGCTGAGCCGTCAGGTATAGTCCACGAACTTTCTACATCCCACCTGATACTAGCCTACGCTGAAGATCGTCGATCGCATCAACGCATTAAGCCACATCCAGGATGTTGATGATGCACTGCGGAATCTTCACCGTATCTTTCAGGAAAAGAACGCATCTCCGTGATTTGGGGGCAGTGTTGGAGTCTTGCGATGCATGGCGGAGCGTGAATGGCGGTGACAAAGCGCATGCGATGTACTTTGGCAATTACTTTGATGCCACGAAAGGTAGCAGACGTCTCTCTTTGCCATAGCTACTAGTTTCTGATGGGTTCAACGGCACCAGGGCAGTGAGCCGGTTAGCAGCCTACCGCAAGACAGTCGACTACAATCAGGGTCATCGTGACGATATCCTTGGATGCGCGTGGGACCATGTCGAGCCAGTCCACAACTTCCATGCTGAAGACTGGTACCGCGCATACACGCTCCTTCGATGGTTTTGGCGCAAGCAGATAGGGGCGCGAAGGGCCAACCAACACGAGGGGACATCGAAGGCCCAAATCAATCCAGCAAAGGCAGTCGAGTTCTACGATCCGAAAGACTTGCACGAAGGGACAGACGGATATCCCTTGGCAAAAAGATTCTGTCTCATCTTATGATGGTCCGGAATCACATATAGAGCTGTGGCCTTTGAGAGCAGAGGCGTCTATGACGGTGACGACACTCACTCTGACATGGGTTACACGAGCTGCCAATAATAATGCTCTCGATGAGGACGTAGGAGATGATGAGGAGAGATAAGGAGTTGAATGTGAAGAGCCGATTACATGATGGTCACCTAAGCGGAAGACTAATCTCGAGGATGCTTGGAAAACTTTCTTCTGTGAATAAGACCACATTCCAATAGAAAGCCTGCAGTCAGGCCGTCTAGGTCGCGAACGGAGGTCTTCCAGTCGTCACAGAGATCGTGGGGGCATCCTATCCACGCTTTTCCTTGTCGTGGCCTGGGATGGGAGTACAGGCAAGATCATTGGTGTCAGGTACATTCGAGCAGGAGCCAGGATATACATGGAGCAGCAAGCAGTGACATGGGCAACGAGTTAAACCCTTGTCTTTCAACTGTTATCGCATGCAAGGAAAAGGCTCATGCCAACTCAAACATACAAACCATCGCAGGATCGCGCACCGAATATGAGACGGAGCTCAGCTCTTCTAAGCGTCGCAAAGTCTCTGGTCATGGCAAAGCCACAGCAAGTCGTACGACTGAAAGCAAGGTCTCCACTGGCAAAGTGCTCGGTTTGCTTTCCACTCATTCAGGAGAGCTGATTTGATAACGAGGGAAAGCGCCTCCCCGCTTTCTCCTAGGGCCCTTCCCCCTCAAGATGTTGGTCTTCACCTTGCTGCTCCCGTCGTGCCTTCCCTTGTCCACATCAGGTGATAACCGTTTGAAGCCCACAAGCTCTACTCAAAGCAATCTAAGGTCACAGCATCGTTCACCTTCAAGTAGGTATAAAAAGCGATTCAGCTGATGCGCAACTCCCTCAAACCGTTACCAGTAAAGCGATGCGAGTTTGCCCGATAATCCTCAAGAAGCTTCATAGCCACCGTTGTGTTCATACGGAATTCAGGAAGCATTTAGCACCTGACTCCGTCGCCTAACATCTCCTCTTATTAACCTGCACAATGTATATCATAATGAATAGCAAGCAGGCGCCCACAAGTTCATGGATTCTTTCCCGCCACACGATCGCGAACTTAGATGATGCTGGGAGCATGAGTGCGGAGGAATCACGGCGTGTCTAAGTATTCTCGGCAAAATCGCTCAGGACCTGGTGGGCGGAGCAGGTTTGTACCAAAGGAACATCAGACTTTACGCAGAAGCATTCAAAGCTATCGAGCAAAAGCGTACGGAGCTCTTGGAAGAGTACTGAAACAGCGCTTGAAGTGCCAGCAACGACGGTACGAGGTGTCACAGGCGCGCTGTGAAAGGATCGCAGACGTGTCATCGCGGTTGCGCTGGCGAAAGCGAAAAAAGATCACAGTGGAGATGAAGGAGTGGATGAAACTAAATCGGTATCTAGAGATGTCAGGCTTAATACATTTGTGCAGGGTATCAACTAAGCCGGTTCTCAAGATACCAAAAGCAACGGCAAAGACTCACCCAAGCTCCCTAATGCCAAACGGAAAGCACGACTACGCCTCCAACACCTCTACAAAGTACTCTAAGTCAAATATCGATGTGTTCTGAGAAAGGTATTCTGGACGTGATTGTCCTTTCAATATCTTGGATCGTTTGTTTACCTGCTCAGCAATAGAAGCTAAACAAGGAGCGATTTCGGGGTCTCCATTATGGTACCGCTTGGCTTTGAGAAATCATGGCTTGATCATTCAAAGTCTTCATCGTATGGAAGCGTATAGCTGCTCGTAGGAGCGCCAAAGGAAGAGAATTTGCGGTGTATATCTTGGCATGAGTCAAATACCCAGCCATCTATATTCGATTTTTTACCTTGGCAATGAGTCAAATTTTCAGGCACATATAGTTCTTGCCAGACGTCCAAATTTCTATCGTTAGACATCTACTCTCCATCACCCGTACAGCAAGACTAAGCTCTCAAAGCTAGCATCCACACGTCTTTTCCACACTTGCTATCTGAAAACATTCCCTGGTACAGAGACATTGTTGCATTCTCACATTTCGGTATGTGATTTTATTGGTCCATTCTTACCCACAGGGATCTCGTATAAATACCCTTTATGTTCCTTCCCGTCTCGGAAATTTGCGACAATGTTGCCGGCTTGTTAACACTTTCCCAGATTGGGTACATATATATCCTCAGTCTGTGCACTCCGAGTCTGAACACAGTCATCTTGTACGTCTTCGACCATTACCGCACTTCGAAACTATACCCCTACGTCCAAGAGATACCGTCAACATGATCAACTCCACCTTCCAAGTCACCTTCGGCATCGAAGTCGAGTGCATCCTCGCCTTCCACGAGAGCCTCCTACGTAGATACCTTGCCACCATCAAAACCGACTGCAAGATTATCAAGACCGTTCCCGAGGATGTCCGTCGAAAGCTCAACCAAGTCCCCCAACATTACCTGGATGAAGACGCACGCCGACACGATGTATCACGCCAGAAGTACATGGGCTGGGGTCTTACAGCACCCACCGCCTACCCCCCTGAGCGCGATAACGTCAGCTTCCAGGACCAAATGGACATACATCTCGAAACTTACGGCTATCGAGCATACGGCGGCGAGGTCTTGCACGTTGCTCAGACTCTTTTTCTCCCGGATGAAGTCGAGGTCCACGACTCTTTCAACGGGGCAAACAAATACACCGACTTTTCGCACTGGCACGTGACGCACGAGCGGGGCCTCGTGGGGCTCGACAAGAGGGACTTGATGCAGCGACTGGAGAGACTCTCCAAGGCTGGAGCACCGGGCGATCTTAGAAAGATGCTCAAGCAACCGAGCATGACCAAGGACTGGGACACCCACCCTCTTGAACTGGTGTCCCGGGTCCTCCCTTACGATTCTGCCTCTATCGCCGAGGTACATCGGCACCTCAAGGCTCTCCAAGAGGGACTCGCGCACTTCGCTTTCGCAACCAAACACTGCGGATTGCATGTTCACGTCGGGCTTCCTGTGCCTACCAAGTGAGTTCACGTCAAAGCAGTCCCTGACTCTATTTCGATTCTCCAACCTGAAGGAAGTCATACTGACCCCAAACCTCCTTCAGTCACCTGGCAGGAACGCCACCTCCCACCTTCACCCTACCAACCCTGCAGCACCTGGCGTACATACAAGTGATGTACCAAGCCAAGATCAGCGAGCTGCACCCGACATCCCGAGGCGATGGCACGAACATCGACCTCAAATCCAACCTTGACAATTTCTACGAGGAGCCAGAACCTCTCACCGATGCTGAATACACCGCCATGGATGCCCGAAGTAAGCGTTCCATTGACGCCTTGATTCAGAGAGAAGATGCTGACTCCGTGATTCTCTTAGTCGATGCTGGCGAAGATCCAGACGTCGTCTTTGCAGAACAACCACCGACGTTCTCCTTCAAGAAGGCGCGGGAGAAGATCTTCGCCAAAGACATGACAATTGAAAAACTCTCGGAGCTCATGGGCGGGAACGAGAAGTGGAGGATCGTCAATTGGAAGTACGTTGCGCGGACAAAAGGTACTGACATCCTTCCTTTCCAATACCCCCCCCCCCTCCAAGCGTTATCGCCATTAGGATCGAGAACTGACCCCGAACTTTACAACAGGAGAAGCACGCACCCTCGAGTTCCGCCAACACGAGGGAACACTATCCCCGGTCGCCGTCGAGCACTGGACCGCCTTCGTCGTCGGTCTGGTCCGGTTGGCTGAACATCACAGTCGGTTTTACGGCTCTGCGCCGGATTACGACGGCTCGGGATATAAGTACCGAGAACTGAGTGAGGAGTCGAGCGTGTGGGACTTGATGGAGACAATGGAATTGGGAGAGAGTGAGGAGGAGTATTGGAGGGATGTGGTGGCTAGCCGGGCATAAGGAGGCTAGAATGCTGCGAACGAGGGCGAACGGTGTTTGGGTGTGAGGCTGTGGGGTTTTTGGGCATGGCTGTGAGGGAAAGGCTTCGGTGGTGTTGATGTTGGTTGGTCGTACCGTTCTGTTGGAAGGAACATGAGGCGTATCGGATGAAGTCGATGGAAGGAGTCTTTAGCAACGCGCGCTTGTCAGAGTTAGACCCAGATTTCTAGGGTAGCAACGCAATCCTTTATTTCCATGAGTCTCCACATAAAGTCCTTTCTGGTCATGCTCGTCTTATATAGCTCCCAGTACAGCTTGGTTGTGAAAGCGCGGAACCCGGGCACGGTATTTCGGGCAGCCAGATATTACACTGGGCAGCATACTGATCACTGCCGACTTCGTAAGTCTCATACGCCGATTCAGTACGTACTTTAAGCCTACTATACGTGCGTTTTGTACCCTTGCGCTCCATGACGTTCCGCAGCGAGTTCTTGTGAGTATTTCGAGGTCCTCCTTTGAGTAGGCCTTCTTCACCTCCCAGCGCTGAGTATCTCCTGTGAGACTAAGCCTTTTGAACGCGAAGCCATCATCCTCGTTTTCGATTGGCAAGCCAAAAGGCTTTTTGCTACATCCAAACCCCTGTCCATCCAATCCCTCTTGGCTCTCCACAGGCGATCTCACAAAAAACCATTTGGCTCTAGAAGGAATCGACAGAGATTAGGGGGGCGGCCCAATTCGTGGACCAGTATGGATGCCACGGGATTGAGGCCAAGTTCTTCGGAAATCGAATTCGTTCCAATGTGGACCGATGGGGGAACCCAGGTGACCAAAGACGTTGCTGTGCCAAATGACATGGTGCAATTGCATGGTTGGCCACAATTACGCCTGTCCGACCTCCACCCTCGACAGCGACCACATTTGCAATGAATTCGTGTAGTACAGGCAGCCCTGCACCTTGGCGCCGCATAAAGCACCATGTTCTCCAACCTCAGAATACTGCATGCCGTCAGTGCGCAGCGAGGTTCCTCCATGGGGCGTCCAGCAACAAGATCTTGGGAATGAATTACGAGCAGCCGGACTATCGATCCTGAAATATGATGGAAGTGATGGTTGTTGAACGAAGGATTGGTTTGGGTAGACTCTATGCTGCGATCGACCTAGGCTTTGGTTGCGACCCTACCAATGGCCAGTGCGGAAGGTTTTGGATCAGTGACAAGTGCCAGGTGCAAAACCACATTCTGGTAAGTACTGATGGGACTCAGCGTCAAGTGCTTAACGTATCGCCCCTGCCGCTGCTTGATTAAAGCGGGGAGATGGGGTCAAAAGGTGACGGGAAACGCGAATATACGGGAGTGATTGAGCTGGTCGGAGTAGATCCTGGACTGTGCGGAAGGGTATAAAGTTGTTTACCGTACTACTCAGTCCAGTTGCAGTATACACAGCTATCCAGTGTATATCCCTACTCCCGTCCGTGATCACACATCCACATCCACATTCCTTCACCCTGCCAGCCATCTGCAGATGCATACAAAAACACATAGCCAGTATAGCTTCCTCGGTACTGAGCTCGTAGCTCATACCATGGTACCACTGCTCCGTTCTCAGGTAATCGTCACGAACCCTAGCCCTTCCCTCGCCTTCCTACAAGCCATCTTGAGCGCCTGGTCCTCGGTGTCTGTCCACTTGACACTCAGCTCATCCCATTTCTTTACCGCATACTCCCGCTTGAAGGTCCGTTGCATCTCCTGCAGACGTGCCAGTTCACGCGGATCGCCTGTACCGCTGTACACCACTAGTAAGGTGCAAGGAGGCAGGAAGTCGCGAACCGCTTGTATACGGTTGACTGTCTTCGTAACCGCCTCAGCGAGGGCAGTGGAAACGTAATCGGTGGAGATGAGGTGAGAGTCTTGGGGGGTGTGGTCGGAGACAGCTCGCCTATTATCGTTCCACCAGCCGCAGAAAGCCGCTAGTTCTTGGAAGCGAGCCCATGTGAAATCCACGCCTCCACCTGGGATATAGCTGCCATCCTCGTCGCCAAGCACAGCTCTCTTGACACCTGCTACAACTCCAGCGTCATCAGGGCAGCCGATGCAGTATGTAGCCATGGAGCCAAAGTTCCTCTCTGGAGCGCCTTGGTCCACGATTGCACCTGTCTTGCCTTCATTGCTGGCGTTGTTTAATGATCCGGCTCTTGGCGTTCGTTTCAGGCGCTTGAAGATAGACTCTACGGTCGCCTCGCTCGTGCCCCATTGCGGACCTCGTTCGCACTTGATCTGCACAAGGTCAAGGCAAGCCCGCGCATCTTCGACGCTGTCGTGACCCTGAGTACCATGACCTTTCTGGATCTCACGACCTAGGTATTTCTGCGCGAGCCATTTTAAGGAGGATTTCATGGGTGGGCCGCGAGGATGCGGGTAGAGCATGGAGGTGTCGATGATGAAAGGATGGGTGAGCCGGAGCGCCATAAGGTCAGAGTTGAGGGAGTGGCCAATAAGTATATGTTTTGGTGTGATTTCTTTGAGCAGCCGATCTTGTATGTCTTTGAGATTGGTGGTGACGTTCTCGAGTTTGGTTGGTGTGATGCCGGAGTACGGTGTCAGGTAGTCGATGATAGGCTTGTCTGGTTTGACGAATTCATCAAGGAGGACGTTACCGTCCCACTCGACTAGACTGATCCGTGTCAGGGCCATCTCGCCACCTTCCACTATGCACATCTCGCAGTCTATGGCAAGTATGCTCCGGCCGTCCGTCACACTCCCTTTCTCGATATCCTCATCCTTAGCAACCCCATCCTCGAGCCTGTCGACTACCGTATCCAGCCAGCCGTCGTCGGTCGTTTGCTTGTTCTTCGTTCTTCGTTGTATACCTACTTCTTTCTCGGCTAGGGTCGTAAAAGATGCTGGATGCAGTATGTAGTCGTTCTCTTCGAGCTCTTCTGCAGAAGAAAGGAACTTGGTAATGAGCGTGCGCTTGTTCGCCCAATTCTTTCCCTCTCTTGCTGGTTTCGGGCCCTTAATCTGCTTATCCTCTTGTTTCTCTTCATGTGTCTTGGTAATGGCTGAGTTGAGCATAGCATGTAATGGCGAGTGCACCTTCCCATACTTCTCATCTCCTGGAGCTTTGACGGGCCAGAGATGGGAGAAGATATCTGCGAGTGGCTTTAGCGGTTTTGGCAACTTTTCAGGCGACAAAGGTGTGGGCAGGTATTCATCTGGAGACTTTGGAGGTGGCTTGATGTTGTATCCATTGGCTTCTAATTCGGTAGCTACAGCTTTTTCAGACTCTCTGCTACTTACCACAGAGCCATTGGCGCCATTGTAAGGCGCTGACGACTTGACCGAAGTCTCTTTTGGCGGATCTATCTGAATGCTGCCATCGAACATACCCTTTTCCAGCCCAGGTACCAGCAAGACCACGGCCTTCTTAACCATGCCATGATGCCTCACAGACACAAACTGCGGCGATGTAGCGTCTGCCAAACAGTAGAGTACAAGAGCTTGCAGGTGATTGATGTTTACACTCGTGTGTAATTTGTGCATGTCTGAGTAGCCTAGGCTGGGGTAGTTGGTCTTCTTCTGTTTCTTGCCTCCTCTTCCTACTGTGGTCCACTCTTCGGAGTCGGGCTTGTGCTCATCAGACCTTTGGTCTGCCGTGAGCTCACCACGCAGGTGTGCGATTGTTGCGCCGACACCAATGTTGCTGTCGCCGTTGGGTCCATCTTGGGCGTACTGAGCGTGCTTGCGCTTCTTGTTACTTCCACGGCCCATACTTGCACTTCGATTGTGAATCCCAAATGTGCGGTCGAAGAGAAACAAGAGGGGAATTAAGGTACTCTAGAGCGCCCCGGCGCCTCAGGCGCCAAGATATACTACGCGCTAGCGCAGAGCCGCATTAGTACAAAGCTTAACCCATTCAATCATTCTAATATAAATCTCCGGGCATTATAATTTTATGCCACCGAAAGTCCTGAACATGCGCTAAAACCCTTCATCTTGGCATTTTCTACCATTGGGGCATGAATTTTTGAATAGCTTCTAATCTTAACAGTGGTATGATTTTGTAGATATAATTAATAGGGGTATGATTTTGTAAGTTGCCATCTATGGGGCGGGTTGGTGTTAGGAATTCCCCTCCTTCGGCCCTGGGGCCCTTAAGGGTTTGCACTCGTGAAGTACGAATAACACCTATTTAACCCTTTAGCGGTAACTCGGGTTACTAACAATTGGGTGGTAGCCTGAAACACCCCAATGAATACCCTTCTAATGATTTACAGGTATAGGGATGTTGGTGGTATCTTACATTTTCATACCCCAAAGACTGTCGCAACTTACAAAGCATTTATACTTCCATTTGTTTTTGGTGAGGGGTATGCAAAGGGTTTGAAAGCGTAACCTGAATGTTAGGTAATTTGCCCATAAATCTCCCCTATGCTCGTGGCGATTCTTGCAACGCAGATATCATCATCATCATCATCATGGCATCTGCAGAGCTGTAGCGGCCTGCAATCAGTTGAACATGCTTAATAGTTACTCAATTGGCACCGTTGCAGATACCAGGCAAGACTTCATACCTAACCGCTTTCTACAGTACTTCAGCATCCTCAGCACCTGTTCACCCCAAAACCAGGATCTTCCCTACGTCGACCCTGCATACCACGCGGTAAAGTGCTATAGTGATCCAAAGCCCATGCTGTGGGTTTTCTTAAACCCTGTCATCTCTAAGACCCTCACCGCCTAACCAGGAATACGCTTTTCGCTGCTCTTGCCGTCAGCCTCCGAGGGTGAGCTGAGAGTGATCGGGCGTAAGCAAGAAAGCAGACGTATCGATACATGTATTTTGCGAGGAGAAATGATTCATTGTGGGAGGCTACTGGTGCCACCCTGGTCGAGAGTCTGTGAAAAAGTATCATGACAGTAAGACACCCCGCGAAGTGCTGACGAGTCTAAAAAGGTATGGAAACAAGCGACGGCACCCCCAAATCTCCCTTTACCATAATCTGAATACCTCGGTTGCGGCTCGTTTTTTCCATATGTATTCCCATCGTTCCAAAGACCTGTAGTCCCTCGGACGAAATGGCCAACCAACGTCCAATGGTTCTCCTCTGCCTTACGCAATACAAAAAGTGAAACACCATGCAAGAGCCAACAAATTATATCACCCTCGGTAATGGCGAACCTTTCCGCGACATGATAGCCACGCTCAGTCAGGAACAGTGTATGGCCCGCGTTGCGTGCAACAATCTCTGGACCCAGCTTTTCCGAGCCTCCCACTATGCCAAGATCTGAGCAATACGTACAGATACTCTCTACCACAAGTGTATTGTTATCTTTGCAGAACTCACCAATGTCTTGGCCTGGCCGCTCTGCGCGTTTGCTTGGTGGGATGTGTTGCATCCATGCTTCGTAATCGCTAATCAACTCACTGGCCTTGAAAAAGACTAATTTTTCTCGTAGCAAATCACTTGTAGTTGCCGGTATCAGAGTATGGGTGATTCATTATTGTTCAAGGCGTTGTTTATTTCATTATTTTGAGAGTGAGCGCCTCCACGTAGATATTAAATCAGAGATGCTTTAAGGACTCGATTTTGCGACGGAGCCTTCTGCAAATCGTCGCTCCAAAATTTGGCTTTCCCTGACCGGTACATTACAAGTTATTCAGTCATACGTGATTCCCACTCCCTAATCTTGGCTTTGATAAATTTGGCTCGCGTCTTTGAGTCTTTTCCCACAATATTCCCGTAATATTATGTAGACGAGGAATTTGAACAGCGATTATCACTTGATCGACGTACAATCGTGCACCTACAGTGCAGACGACTCTTGATATCTTTTTAGGTTCTGCATGGGAGGCTCGAATCGTGGATTGTGTCCTGCGGTCACGATGAGGGTCGTAAAGGAATGATTCCTCATGCTTTATCAATCTTACTACTCTGCTGTCAATAGCTGTCCAATCTGTGACTCAAGATGGACAGTCGTTGGCTCTGCAATGATAAGCAAGTCGCAAAGGCTGCAACGAAAAATGCAGAAAGTATCTTGTTAGTCTCGTGAGGAAAAGACGATCAGACATAGCATCGGAGTAGTCTGGGATAATCGAGAAACGTGCTTCTGGCGTTGCGAGTTCCAACAGGGCGAACATTTTATCTCTTCGGACGGAAGCTTGAAAGCCATGCATCAAGAACGTCAATTCCATAAGAGACGGGCCACTGGCCTCAAGTTGCTGCTTATGGGCATACCAGTTGGAGAGAACACCTACACAAGGCTGCTTCGGAGGGTTTTCAGACTCCTCAAGTTTATCTTTCATTTGTGACATTCGATAAGTCACGTCAGGGCGAACTTGCTTGACTGCTAAATGAGGCTCCTCAGGCTCGTCTTCCATGAAAAAGGGTCTTTCAAACTTCTTTCCGTTCATAAGTTGTACAAAGTATAAAGTGTCGACTTGTCTCTCTCCGCACTGAACAATAATTTGTCGCGACATGGATGCCTCTTGGACCACCCAAATACGTGTCCACCATGTCCTTCGCATCAATTTGGTAACAGCCGGCAAAGGGATTTTGACTACTTGATCCGGGATCCTCTGTCGAGGCGAACCAGTGAAATCCATAGCCACATCGCTATCCGCCGACTTCTGGTCCAACCATACCAACGCCAGAGTCGCATCGGCATAGATTCGCGCATTTAGAGTCCGTGTACACTTTTCTTTTCTTTTCTGATTGATGCAAATGGCGTCGATCCACAGATTTTTGAGACGAGAGCGCCCTCGAATGCGGTGAAGCGCTAATTCCAGGTTCTCCGTAATATGTAGGGGCACGTCACCAATGACAATGGCGCTTTCGCTCACTGGCCCAGACCAAGTGTAGGACAGAGCCGTGTAGTCGAGGTCATCGTAGTTCAAGCTCTCGACGACCAGGTCCCCGCGCAAAACATCATCGCCTGTGCCGGAAGCTAGGGCTAGGATACGGATCTCTCGCCGGTCTGTGACCAATGGGGCTTGTACGTAGACATCTTGCAGGGTCATGACGATGGTACAACCGGCAGGAGAGGAGCCGGCTCCAACTTTGAACTACAGGTATCTAGGCTCGTGGCGAGAGTCTGAATTCAGTATGTCTGTAGCTTGTGGGCATGCAATCATTGGAAGATAAAAAAAAACCACTAACGCGAGTAGGGTCTTGCTGTGCATTACTCAGTTCTGCAGACAAGCTCTCAAGAAAGGTACGAGGGTTAGATGGGAGTATCAACCCACCTATATATGCTAGAAATGCTCTTTAGCCATGAAAGAGAACAGACTGTGGTGGAGGGGCTGACAGGCTTGTGAAGGCTGTCAGCTGAGTCATCGACCAAGATGGTCTGCAGCCAATCAGTATCTATCGCTTCTTCCAAGTCGAGCTGAACATAGCAAGCTGGATAGAGATCGAAAGTCGCAGGCACTCTTTCCCTTTTCGTGATGCTTGGCTGCAACTGGCATTCTCATCTGACTAAGATGCCAGCGTCATTCAAAGCATCCGATGATGCCCTATTCTCCTTGAAAAGTATTCCTTAACCCCGCACATGTTGCATAACGCTGCAGCCAAGCACGACGAACCTCAATGTTTTATCCTATCACAAGCATCAGATGTTTTGCACACACAGCAAGATGGAAGATCATGAGAGTCAAAGCCTCCGCAGCTTGACGGACAAAATGAACGCAGCACACGTAGAAGATCCTTGTTCAGGTAGCGAAAAGAACGGTGCGCCTAATACCAAAGATAGTTCTGGGGCTGATGAAAGGCCTGGTCTCTCCAATCTAGCCGGCGAGCTTCAAAATCTGATCATTACCAATCTCCATCCCTCTGCAGCCATCGCCTTGAGCCAGACAAATCGTCATTTCCACTCCTGTGCCTATCTACACCGGCTGCCATCCCCCACAGTGTTTGATTATCTCCAAGAGAAGGAGCTTTTGCCAATCAAATTGGACGACTATGCTTGCTACACTTGCCTTCGTTTCAAGCCTCGACCAACGTTCGGAACAAGACAGACCAGATCTATCTTGGAAAAGTTGGGTCAGAGCGCCCATAAGAGGTATTGTTTCGAATGTGGCTCCATGCCCGGCAACCACTTACCCTGTTAAGTTATGAAAATTGATGGGGAGCTGCAGGTGCAATGTGGTGGTTGCAAGACTCTCCAAAAGCAATTCTGCAAGAGATGTGGCTGGTGCAGTAGCTGCATAGAAAAGAGTACTGTGACAGTGCTAAGGAAGGGTTATTGGGCTAAGCCTAACGGTGAAGCAAGCGAAGTGGTTCATAGAAACATCTGTAGAAACCATACTTGGGAAGGACCGAAGCCTGCGGGTAGCCTACCCGAGACTTATAGTCTGCCTCTGCAGTCGTTGGCTATGTATGAATTTATAATATGCAGGCGTGGGCTGTGGATGAGGTCGGAAGAGGCACTGAAATTATAGCTAGCCCAAAATGTTCTGACGGACGAGATATCATCTGAAAGACGGGATACCATGGGGAACGCAGTGCAGAAGAAATAGGGCGGCTTGTGCGGGACCATGTGTCCAACTCAGAAGATGTATATGTGCTATTAATGAGGAACATGAGCTTTGTTAGTTGACTTCTCTCATCTCAGCTCTTTGTCTGCATAGCTATTATACTTCCGTCGTTACTTGAAGCCAACGCCGCTATTTTCGAATATCAAAATCCTGTCGCGAACGTAGAAGTCGTTAAGATAGGACATCTTGGCATCATGCCAGCGCAAAAGGTTCTCCAACCAAATCTCGACATCATCTTCTCACCATCTCCAATCTATAGCCTGTACACAATGATCTGTCAACGCTGTGCCCGTCTTCTATCGCCATCATTCCTCCGTCCCGCGACTCTCCGGCCCCTCTCCACGACCTCCAGATCTCTCCGCCCCGAAAGCCCACCCGCGGCAACTTCCACCTCTGCCGCGCAGCCATTTTCCACGCCTTTTACGCCCTCGCCCTCAAAGACGCCTGATATACCTTCATCACCAAGTACGACACCTAAAGCAGCATCCAAAGTCCCAGCGCATCCGCCCAGCAGTGTAGCAGCGGGCACGCCATTGAGGGGATTGGGATACATCAAGGGCCAAGAGGGGCCAGTTGCGAAAGAGGACTCGGAATATCCTGATTGGCTTTGGGAACTCCTTGAGGCTAAGAAGGGCGACATGACTGAGGAAGGGGTGGTTGGGGATGCCTTTGGTAAGCTATCTCTTTCTACTACGACGACAACTTGCAGCGCTATGTTCGGAACGGGGTGTGCGCTTCAATGGCTTCAACAGCCTTGTTGGCGGTAGACGACATTATCATTCATTATTACAGTGGGGTTTTCTAAGCTGATAACGCGTCTCTACAGCGAAATCAAAAAAGCAACGCCGCCTCGCCTCTAAAGCCGCTCGCGCTCTGAAGACTGGGTCCCACGGGACCTCGCACACGGTCAAAGTACCGCTCGAAGAACAGTCAATTGACCTCCCAGCTGGTATGGGAGAAGCAGAGGGGCGAAAAGCGTTGGAGGCAAGAGAAGGGTTGACGAGCGCGATGAGGACGGCGCGGAGAAGAAAGATCAAGGAAAATAATTTCTTGAGGGGGATGAGGTAGGGTTAGAACATGTTGAGAGGCGAAATTGACCGCAATTGAGGGGAAGACGGGGGAGAAGCTGGAGACAGAGGTTTCGGGGGTGTGATCGTGGATTTATCCAAGAAGACGTCTTTGTGGGAGCTCATAGGGTATAATAATACTCCATGGGAGGGAGACAATCTGTATCATCAATACTTCTGGAATCCCTTCACATGGTGTATCACCATGCTATTCTTTTCTCCCTGCCTTGTGTGCATTCCCAGCCGACGAAGGATCCGCTTCGGATCGAAGGCCTAAAATCTTTTCTAGCATCATCCCATTGGTCAAGAACCCTCTATTACTATGTACGGCCCTAAACATTTCTCTCTATCATGCTACTTATGGAGCGATTGCGCTAATCCAGATCGACTGAATATAACTGAATCCAAAACAGGAACTTCGGAGAGCTGCAGCATGATGGGCCGACCCCGAGGTGCATGATAAACGCTCTGCGTTTTGGACACGAGGCTGACCAATCTCCGGCTCTCACGAAAGCCCAGCCCACGAAAGATCCTGCTGCTCCACCACCATGCCAGGATCCTTGCTGCGACTGCGAAGCCGCTCCCCCGATCAGACGCCAAATTTAGAGGCACCCGGTCCGCTGTTAGTGCATCTAATGTAGGTCGTCAAAACTGCCACACCTCGACATTAGCGTCTGGTCGATAATAGCCAACATAAGTATGCCGGCCTTCCGCCGCGTTCTTGTATTGTTTGGTCAATCACTACAAAAAACCCTTATTCGACCCTTATCGAGTCTAATCAGGGCACATCCTTTGAATCTCTATTTCGATGTCTCAATCGTATATCTGTACGAATAATTTTTGCAAAGACTGGTATCTAGCGGATCTTGGCACGGTTATTGACCATCTCCGAGGCATTCACCGCCAAACATTCATACGACGACCGTATGAGCTCGGCAAATCCGACACCCATGGAAATTTTTGGTACTGTTTCAAATGCAGTGGGAAATTGGATAAAGACCACAGAAGTTTCAAGTCCGATAGGGCTATGTGGGACCATCTCTGTCATAGCCACCACCTTTGTCTGGATGATATCGAGCAGGACTTGTGAAACTTGCCTACTTTACCCTGAGTCGATAACGACGATTGCCGCACTATCACCACCTCACCTCTCGCCTATCCTACGTACCGCCATACTTCACACTCAAGAATGCGATGGTCCGAGCCGCAGTCGTCGAACGGCAACTCCTACCTACTGACAGGGCCCATACGACATATTCACTATGGGGTCAACTGTATGTGCCAATAGATAGCAATACTGTGAATCTCCGCGGCTGTCACCTTGGTCGCATCTCTCTACACAGGGTACATCCGCCTTGGCAGAAATTCACACCTTGACGATGCTGAAATTTTGATGATGGTGGGAGTACCAGTGCCACGTCGACGTCCGCAGTGAAGGACTGGGTAGACCTCAGCTATATAATTTACGCCTGCTATTCTGATTCGGCAGCAACAGCAGACCGGAAAAAGCTCCGCCGTGATCTTGCGCGCCCGGGTGCAGATCTCTACGCTGGGCGACCACGACAACGCTCTCGAATAGGATGGTACGTTACGACACCGATAGAGCAACAAAGGTTGTGGTTGGTGTGTCCTTGCTTGCGGCGTTGGCGGGCGTCCGGGTTCTGCGTCGAAATTTGGAACGGTGTCTCCACCCCATTTACTTAACGTTCTGCATTTACAACTATAACAACACCGGAGCTGCCCTGGTGGTTTACAAATGGCAATAAAACATCCTTTGGCTCCTTCCCTAATTGGTGGACGGAGCTGCTTCCCGACAGGCGACCACTTATTTTCCTGCCCGCAGCCAAAATCACCGGCAATATACATGCGGGGACTAAACACTTTCTCCGCCCAAATGGTCAAGGACTTCTACCACCTTCCTTTCACCATTTGAGCTCTTAACACTTCGTCAAGTCGCTCCGCTCAAGTGGTCAAACGTACATTCAATGACTTCTTTGTGTGGATGTATGGCCCCAGTCACCGAAATTTATGGGAATTGTTCACGAATGACAGAATCTGCTTGTGACACAGAAGCAACCAGCCACTCTGAGGTTGAAGGTAGCGGCGTCTTCCACTCTTCTCCCCGGCTCCTCTACCTGTCACGTCCCCCAGATAATGCCCAGCCTGCTATACGTTGCCATTGTCAATGATGAAGCCGATCGACCTGTCCTCCCTCAAATGCGCTTAGGAACGGTCTAGGAGCCTGCAAGTTCCCACCAGCAAGTATGCTTCTCCACTGGCTGCGAAAAGTCCTCGACTTCTACACTGCGCACAAGAGACAGCCCTACAAAGCGTTTGTCGAAATGTGGATGTTCTTTTCCTTCTTACCGTGAAGATAGGCAACACAAGCAGCCTGCTACACTGGTTGGAAGCATGCGAAATTGCTAGGCAGGACGTAGAGCAGTTGTCAAGGTCAATTACATCGGCGTTGCTCAACACTGTTGCTCTGGAGATGCGCCAAATGGCGGTCGTAAGCCTCGCTCTCGAATCGACCAAGCTCAGTGATTCCACCGAGCGAGCAAGTTTTATCAACATATACCTTGGTCACACCGACGAGTCCTCACCGACGCTGTCTAATCCTGTCAAGTCCTTTGGGCAGCTTAGAGACATCGCCGCAGCCGTGGAAACTTTTACACCGCTTTACATCGCTGCATGTATAGAGAGTCTCGAAAGAAGTGAAGCAGCGATTCTCAAAAGCATTGGAGCAGTGAAAATGGCACTCGCCTTTCGCATCTGCCGTTGATTAACGATCTACATTCTCGACCGTATTACGAGTCATACGTTGACCATGTTGGAGATGGGACGGCGACGACGCAATAGAACTCTCATTTGACTGGAAGGACAATCGGATTCGCTCTCCAGCAAGTGATTCCTATCTGCAACGTCTCACTGTTACACCATACCGTTGGCGATTCCCTGCGCATCCCATCGAGATATACCGCATTCAGCGTGCCTCTTGGCGCTTTGAGCTCTTTGGCCGACTCCTTCCCGGAACACCAAACGTGGATACGGGCAACGACGTCAATTTGAACGAGGACCGGAAATTGTTGCTTTCTAGACTTCAGTGATGGGAGTGCGAGGAGATGATTAGTGTTGTTCCATTCTTGTTCAGAGTCCTTGAGCGCACTTGCGACCCAGCCGTCTTCTGTGATCAGGCCAATCATGTAAAGTGGTCCAGACTTCAGTGGATATCGTTCTTAGCTCGAGCGCCGGTGGAGAAACCAAAAGGCCTTAAAAGAAAGCCAAGCGATTGGCAGAACGAATGCGATTGGGAAGAACAATTGAGTTTCGCTACACACGGAGGAATAGAGGAATACGATACATACTCGCAGGTCATCAGCAATATATGTATGACCAGGGCGATGGGCCTTCAAGACGATACCCCAGTCAAAGCTATGAGCCATGGCAATGCTGTAACGCCCCTGTCGAACCCCTTCTAAGATGGTACCATCGGCCCTTCGGGCGGGCACGTACAGATGATTATCGTCTTGAAGTCGCTGTGAACCAACATCATCGTGAGTGGGAAGATATGTCAAAGGCTCAATATCCATTTCTTGTTGAAACTGGAAAAGGGCCGGTCTCCCGAAGTTTCGTGTTTTGAAATGGCAGTTAAGAGAAGTGGGCTACATCTTCTGGGATGCTAGAGATAAGAAGAAGTCCGAGCCTGAACCTAAGTCGAAAGAACCAACATTGAACGCGAGTACATATTATGGTAGCAATTCATCCTCATTTTTTTCGAAGACTTCCTGTCGATACTCGCAGAACTTCACGACAGAGTAAATATGGGTTTCGCGAAACATGACATAGTGTTGCCTTAGCAGGGCGTCGTGTATATTGGTTGTTGGGGCTGCTGGCTCGAGGAAAGGGGACAGCATTCCAAGAGCAGTGGGCTTCGACTGCGATCGCTTTTGCGCAGTAAGAAGGAAGCTGACAGCGTTTGTCCAGGCCTCAAAGCGATAGTACTCCATGCTAAGCTTCGCGACATCTTCGACAACGTTGGGGCCAAAGACGTTAGCAACGCCGATGCTCCGCCAGATTACGAAACCCTTCTCTGCAACTGCTGTGCGTCCGCTCAATCCGACGACGAAGCCTGGGATTCCTAACCCGGACATCACGCTATCGGTAGATGTATGAATTCTAGTAGCCTTGAAGGTCTCTGCATTCAGGTCGGATGGTGGGACGATAGCGATAGGGTTGGATATCACATGACGGCAAGAGGTCGAGATGTCTCGGTCATCATGCAGGTAGCCGAGAACGAGAGCCGACTTTACGGACATAAAATTCCGACCATGTGCCTCGTTTCAGTGAAGAGAGGTGATAGGTGTACATCTACTCCCCCCTATCCGGGTGCTATATCCTGGCTAGCTATACTGGGCGCAGTCTCGTAGTGCTCTAAAACCTACGTATCTTGCTACCTGCAGAGTGCGTCACTCGTGAACAGGATTTTCCCTTCCCTTCGGAAGGCCCATTCTAAAACACTCGGTTTTATACTCTTTCGGTGCGCTGAACCCCTCTAGGGGTTAATGGCCAAGTTGATTGTGAATAAGATTTTAAGTCCCGGAATGTGCCCTCGTGAACGCAAGTAGAGTGCGCCGGGTCACCACGGTCAATTTATTACAGTCGGAAGTTATACCCCAGCTGCACCCGGATGTGTGGAGGGAGATGTACATGAATCAAAAAAGGATGTAAATCTATCACGTCCCTAAATGAGTTGCAGTAAGCGCATCGAGGCTTTCAAAGGGTTTCAGTTAAATTACATCTCAGCTGCCGGAAATAGAAAACAGAAGCAATCTAGGCAACCATGAGGGTTTGTATTAGATTGGAGAAGAAATGTCGTCTCGAACTTCGTAAGTCTATCTGCAGGCTCTTGAAGCGACCAATCATTACTGTTCGAGAGTACCGCCTAGCGGCGCAAGATGCATGTCCCCCTAGACATTGCAGATAATTCCAGACGCGCAGATATCTACACCGGGCTCATGTACTGGAAGAATTAAATGTAAGACAGAAGGACCAATGATGGGATACCATAAAAGATAGATCTCAAGATACAACGCAGCCTTGGCTGACTTCCCAAATTTTTCATTGGTCAGAGGACCATAGACTGCAGCGGGCATTCCCTAACCTAAACACGACTTGGGAAGCTCTTTGATAGGACTATCATTGCGACAACATTAATCCTCAAAGCCTACTCCGCTAAGTCTGAGCGCAGAGGCTAATTTGGAGATGCATGCGTGGCATGCTGCGGACGATCGAGGCATTATCGAAAGCTGAGAACAGGCCTTGGTTCTGCTGGCAGACGGACGGGATGTTGGAATGGAGCTCGAGATTTTCGCGTTCGACCTTTGGACAGTACGTTGGAAATTGCGCCATGTCTGAGCGTTAGAGCCCAATGCCGATGTATGCAATGAAAAATATGCTTGAGATAGGTGGAAGTGTGAGGGTTCTGGGATGTGAGTAGAGGTGAAGGCCACAAAGTGCGGTACCAGAGGCGTTGTTTCCCAAGTTGCCCAAAAACACAAAGAAGCTCGACGACGTTGTCCGTATACAGAGATGGTAAAGCTTCGTGGTGATAGATTGTTCTGCATGTTCTCAGTTTAGCTGGATGGAAAAGAGGTTGAGTGCCTTGTTTGAGCACCTGTGATGCTCGTCTGGGCAGAAGGAGAGCTTGAGGCCGCCATTCTGGGTGAGCAACTCCTTGTAGATGAGGAGGCTAATCTCCTTGGCAAGTCTCATGAAGGCAACGAGTTAGTTGAAGTACGGGGTGCTGGTTGCCATATCCTCCGGTGGTGCAACTTCAAATGCTGCCTCACCGAGTGCATTCACTGTATTCAGGTCTTGGTCGGGCTCTCTGTAACAGGATCATAGCATGAGGGAAGGGTTATAGAGTAGATCAAAACTGAGTAGGTCCACATGTCATGGATACTCACCCGGCAAATAGACACCTCGGATGTGACAAACCCACGATTAAATTCACCAATCAGTGCACTTGCCAGGACATCAGTGTGAGCGAATACACCAATACTGCTAAGACTTTCTGCTGAGATAAGTGAAATTGAATCTTAGAGGTTGGATACTTGCTCTTTTGGCTTCAAAGCCTAGCGCAACTTCAAGTTGCACATAAATACGGACTCTTTTCGCACCATACAGTAACTCTAATCATACAGAACCGACCCGCACTTTGTACCGAACTGCTCATCAAGGCACCGCATACATCACAGACTTCCACGATCCAGCTCCCCCATTTCTACTCTGCTGAGCACAGAACTGATAATTCGGCTCCCCCATACTCTGAGGCCACTCAATGAACGCAATCCGATTCGAGCACTGCGGATCCGAGTACGCCTGAAGCGCGGTGGAGTTGCTCAGGAACAGATTGATTCCAATCCAGTCAATAGCCGTGCTCATTGGCAGACAATCGTAGTTCGGGTAATTCGGGGGCGCTCCATAGATTGGAGTCTCGAGGTTCAAAATTGTGTGAGGGTTTATGCCGGGACTAGATGAGGGAGGCCGTTGCGTTAGTGATTGTTGATGGTTGATGGAAGATGTGGAGAGTGTGGCGGAGAAGGATAACTTACCATGCACTGGCGGGGCCCAATGGGCCGTTGTAGCTAAATTGTCTCTTCGATTGCATCTGGCTGGGAAGGGCTAATGCACCGGTGCTTAGCAGGCAGAGGAGAGGGATTGTGAAGTGCATGGTGGAGTTCTGACGTGCGAAATTCGGAATTCGTTGTGGTAGAGGCGGAATGTTGGTAGACGTGGACGAGGAATTGGTTTGATGGATTGCGAGGGGAGAACGGCCTGTATGTAGGCGAGAAGGATGTTTCGCGCTCAAAGCCTGGTCAAAATACAAGGATTGATTATTTGGATCCTTCAAGCACAACAGAGTACAAAGAATCGTGCAACGCGTTCTTGTTTCTTCAAAGACCATCTCTATTTTCTCTCCAACAAAACCAAAAAAGTCTGCCGAGTCAGAATCTTTTTGTTCCTTCCCCAAATTACAACAAAGCCTCGAAGATGAGAATAGCCAAAAGAGCAAGACAAAGAACGGATAGAAAATTACAGATGTGTGTAGATCCCGCTCTAGCCTCTATTGCGTGAGAAGTCGTTAGATGCGAGCCAGTATTGCCTTTCGTGAGAATATCATCCGGTCTGAAGACAACCTCGAAGTGCGCTCACAATTCTCTGGTGTGGAGAGGACTGCAGATTGTGAATAGGGAAGACACTTATCGTAGCCGACTCCATCTCTGCCCATAGCATAACAGGCTTACGCAAACCACAGCGAGTTGGGCTCTACCGAGATAATCCGCGGGATAACAGGTTTGGTTGACTTTCCCGCTATCGCTTCCTTTCTTCCTGATGGGTTTCGTATGCTAGTCCGCTCCCATTGCAGTATTTCCTTGTAGATCTTCCCTGTCTCTGTATTCTCTTCCTTATGCTCTGCCGATCGAGCCACCGCGATGGAGACCGCTGCAGAAGGATCATTTTAAGGGTCATCTTGGTTGAGTAAAGCGCCGAGACCTCCTTCGCCGTTGGTAGTCATAGCAGTAAAACTGATTAAAGTTTCCAGAATCAGTATCGTTGGGGGCTAGGGCCTCAAAGGTGCGTTGTAGAGTGTACATCCTGGTGTCGTGCAGAAAATGATGGAATCCAACGTCTTGGTACTCGAACGCCACCAGTTCTGAGGATTTGGTAATGAGCTTATTCCAACGGATAAGAAAATCTTGCTAGCCATGATAGCAATCCAAAAGTGGATTTAACTGGGTGGGAATGTAGTATGTCAAAAACACAGAGAACTGTGACGGAGCAATCATTGTGCCACTTACTAAGCCCACGTCCGGGGTCAGAGAAGCTAAGTCCGTAAGTGTATCCGATTGGGACATGTCTCTTTTCCTTTACTCAAACAAGCGCATGCATAAGCGCAGCCGCCATACTTAAGGCATCTCTCATCATCTCCAAAACAACTCCTTCCATAAGTTTTGATCAGACCAGAGGATTTTCCCTCCACTCTTTTTATTTCGATTCCCTTTGTTCATGCACATCAGCTTTGACCATCCATATCCGATCCACAACAGCCCCCATCAGTTCCATAGCACCGCTGGTAACACCATACTTGACTACCTCCGAGGTCTCGAAAGTGACCATCGAACGGATCAATTAGCAGCACCCGACACCCATCTTCTCATTCACACAATCCCCCTGTTGAGTCTACACATAATCGGTGCCGAACGCATCATACTCGACTGCGTCACTGATTCCAAAAGACTGGCTTGAAGTCGATCGCTTGGCAGCACCGCCACTCGTCCTCACTGTTTCACCATGCCTCTGCTGCCAGACCTTCCAAACGAGATGCTAGAGCAGATCATGAAATACCTCTTGCCTGACGACGTCGACAACTTTTCGGACTCTCGTGAGGAATTTCGCGCTATTGCTAGCAGGATACTACCCAGGCACAATGAGTTGAAAAGAAAAAACTCCCAGGTCTCTTGCGGCTTGGTTGGCTCGGTAGGCTACAAAGCACTCCACCCCATTTTCTTACTCCGGGACATTCTTCAGGACCCGGAGATTCTCTGGTACGTTAAGACCATGTTCGTCGAGCTCTGCGACGATCACTATGCCTATAGAAACGAGGAAACCTGGGACGAGGCCCGACGGATAGCTGTGGACTGCAAAGATGGCATCATCAAAATGGTGCAGGCATGTCCATACTTGGACCAAGAAGAACGTAAAAACTGGATCAATGCGACACTCTCATGCCACCAAGACACAGCTGTGGCTCTTCTTGCGTGCATGTTCCCATGCCTGGAGACTATCCGCCTCACAGGCATCCATTCCAACAATGAGCTACATTCCCTTGCACGGAAGATTGCCCAAGCCAACCGTCTCGACCCTGGTGGTTCCCATGCTCTCAGCAAGCTCAATCTCGTCGAAGAGGAAGGCTGTGAAGCAGAAATATTCCAAAAGATGCCAGCATTCGAGCCACTTTCTGGTCTGCCTTCAATGCGACGCTATACAGGCAGATACTTGTATCATGAGAATGAGTGGACAACCCCCAAAGAGAAGTCTACAATTACAAGCGTGGAGCTCTACCAATGCATGATTTACATCGCAGCTCTGCGAAGTGTTTTTGGCGGAATTGCAAACCTGCGAGACTTCACATACGAACATCATTGGGCATTTGAGATTCCAGGGTACAGAGGCCTACCCGAACGATTGGAAAGGAGACTGGCAGCCTGGAGAGATTATCCTGAGCTTGCTGGAATTTGCAGCTCATTCTCTCGTCGAACTGGATCTGACTCGGGGCGGCAGTAAAGAAATGCAACGCGTGGAAGAAACACTCGGAGAGAAGGGAGAAGCCGAGGACTCAGACGAGGACTCGGAAGTTGGTGGCATAGTCAAGCCATTCATGGGCTCCCTTAGAGGTTTTCAGGTACTCAAAAACATCCGCGTTCAAAATGAGGCATTCGTCGAGGAAGACCTGGAAGGTTCCGCAGGTGGGAGAACGGTGCACCGTTTGGTGGACTTGTTGCCAGCTTCGGTGGTGAACGTTACGTTGGCGATGCCACAGTTGAGCGGAAAAGAGTCCTACCGGCTAATGGAGGGTTTACCAGGACTCAAGTGGGAGCGGGTTCCAAAGCTCGAGAAGGTCATTGTCGGAAGTGACTGTCCTTACAAAGAGATGAAGACAGTGTTCGAGACTGTTGGTATTGAGTTGGTTTCATGATAGACTGGCGCAATGGGACAGAGGAGCTGAGGAGGGTCGAGGCCATCGGAAGGCTGGCTCTTCGCGGAGGTCGTCTTGGATCTGTTGACGCTACTGCAATATTAACAAATCAACAACTCATGTGTTGACCGAGTAGCTCGAGTATGATATCTTTACAATGGTGGATGTATGGATCAAGCAGTCGAGAGATCCCCCAACCAATGCCAAGAAGATAATCGCTAGCTGCTTTGACACTAGCGTCAAGCTAAGAATTCACCGAAATTGCTTGGCTCGCTGCCATCACGGTGACCGAAGAGTGCACCATGCAAATGCTTTAGCGAACATATCAACCTTTCTCTGCCATTTCCTTCGAGCATCATACTCAACAGGTTCCTGAGTTCCTAGCACCGGGAGGCTCCACAGTCCAAATAGCACGTGCCAAGTCTCACACTAGTAATCATATATCCCTACGAGGCGTCCATTTGGGATGCTCCCCGGGGACAGCAGCTCGCTACTATTCTTGCTTCACCAGAGCTATGCTTGATGAAGCCAATATCTCCACTATTCGATATCTTGGCGATAGATTCTACTCCCAAGTAGGACAACTGGCCATGACGTTTACGGTGTACTTGTCGTGGTACCTTGGCAAGTCGCGTTCCAGTCAGCAAAGGATGCAAGGGTACAACTTTCCACCACTCAAATATCACTCGATGTCCTTGACGGGCACCGTCTCAGCGTGACCGAGAGACTCAGGAACTATACCAGCTCTTAGCGGCGTTGAAGGGCCGAAGGTAAGTTCTCTCGTCTATAAAGCGCTGTCCCTGCTCGAAAGTCCATCTCGTCTTCTTCACCCTCGCAGCGCGCTTTGTCCTTCCATCATATCTACTAAGATCCGATTACCTGCTCTCCTTACACCACGAACCCAGCCAAGAAACCATGCACTTCTCAACCGTCCTCCCCGTCGCTCTTATCGCTCTCCCCACCATCCTCGCCTCCCCAACACCGCACTACTACCCCACCACACCTCAAGCACCATTCTGCCCCCCCAAACCCGCCACCCCCAGCCAACAACACGCCATTTTCTTCGACTTCATCAACAAGCTCTACACCCTCGAGGACCCCACGACCGCCTACCTGACCTACGTCTCCCCAGACTACATCAACCACTCACCCTACGCACCCCAAGGGCGCGCAGCCGCCATCGCCTTCCTCAACTATCTGATCCCGAGCGTGAACCGGACGATTGTGCACGAGACGTTTGAAGGAGGGATTGGATTTGTGCATTTGAATGTTGCAGGAGGCCAGATGGCGGTGGCGGATGTGTTTAGGCTGGATGGGACGTGCGTCATGGAGCATTGGGATGTGGATCAGGCGAGGCCTGCTAATGCTACGAACCCGCTTGCGCTGTTTTGAGGGGAGAAAGTGCGCCGATGACGTGGCTCAGAAGAGGATCCAGATATGGAGACCTGGCGACTCATCTGTCCTCCAAACTAGTGTGGTAGAGGTGTGCAGAAACTGATGGCCTACCAAGGATTGCACTTGACGCCTTGATAGATTAACTTACCATTCGTGGTGCTCAGAGTACATATCTCCGATAAAAACATAAACGCAATTGGAAAAAGACCTTTTTCAAAGCCGATCGAATGAATTGAAAGAAGAAGGGGGAGCCGCTAGGAGCCCAATACTGATGTCCAATGCGTTGACTTTCCCACTGCTCATCTGGGCGCCATCCATACATTCGCGAGAGCCAGGCTCCGTCGCTTAGCAGTGGACCACGAGCTCGACGCGATGAAACGCGTCCTTTAAGACTCACTAGGGCCAACCACACACAACGGTATTTCGCAGTCCAGAAAGGAAAAAAACCTTGAACTGGACTTACTTTATTAGAGCGGCAATGAGAAGAACCCTGAAATTACACACTTCAGTACGTTGATGACAATGCGCTCGAGAAGCAAAGAGCCTCAAGCTAGGTGAAATGGTCTCGGAACCACAACTATGTTCCGACCACCACCTCCCCTCATCCATCGTCGAAGAACTACGTTGATGGTACGAAGCGCTATATCCGATATCCTCGTTGCGCACACGCAAGACGTGTCTTCTTCTTTACAAACAGTTATCCCATACAACTGTTCGAAAGGATACAACTTTTCTACGGGTATCTAAATAATGTCGACTCCTTATTTAGATGGAACGAAATCTTGACAAAGCTGCCTTTGATTTCGTAAAAGAGGAATACGACACTTTTGCGCCGGGCTGGCATGATAAGAATTTGAAAACATTGGGCACAGACATGTTGTAATGTAGAGTGAAGGTTGTTGTAAGATTGTTCTTATGGAATAACGGCCGTGAAGCCTACTATATGGTAGTCGCCAGCCCTTCAAGGCTAGTGGGCGTACTCCAGCACGACAGCTCGATGTGATGGAGGGCCATGGGAGAGTAGTATGGAGGATGTGAGGTTTATGTACCAAGAGTTGGTGGCTGGACGGTGCCGATGTATGGTCTTTTCGCGCAAGACTACCGTGTGTAACTATCCTATCTGAAATTTTCTTGTTTAGCCGAGATATTTTTGTAGGACGACATCTTCGTACATCACATACCTCCTTTGTTACCCCCAAATACTTACTTACGAAACCATAATATTCTAGGCCTGAACGGCTTCCATGAACGAATTTTCTCTAGTTCCTGGTCAGGCGCTGTGTCCCAGTCCAAGTACACAAACCCGACATCAACACACCCACAAACGTCGCTTTAAGCGAGCTCGAAACTATTATATTTCCCGGCATTTGTTTACACGGAACTCAAAGGCCAGCAGGTCATAAACCTCAATTCGGTCTAGTGCTTCGTTGCGTCGTGGTGACGGCGTCATGAAGGGCGATTTGCCGCTAAAAAGCCGGCCGGGAGGGTGCGAAACACCTCTCTGTAGAATAGTTGGAACGAACGGCGAGTCGAGTGGGCTGCACCCGGAAAAGAAACGGATCTCAGTCTCTATACAATGCTGTCTTGATGGTTATTCTGCCTTTGGTGGGTGTGGGGCAAGACTTTGCCAAAGCGGAGCGACGTCAAGAGAGTATGGATTCATACTTGAAACACGCCATCGCATGCAATTCCGATACATGGAAAATGATACTCCAAGTTTGAGAAAGGACTAATCATGGCGCTTGGAGATCTAGGCAAGTAAGGCAACTAGATCTCAGTTCATCGTTAAACACCATCACAATGATCGCTTCTTCTCTTCCGGACCTTGCTCTCTCGTCATGCCTTTGGGAAGAGATTGATAACCATCGTCCCTGAGATAAGTGCTGCATTTCCGTCCATTCTTCACTCCCAAAGCCTGCTCCGACCGTGCTGTTGTTTTGCTTTGTGTGTGCATCATACATCGACCTCCCCGCAAATCTTCCAGAGACCACACGTAGAAAGAAGGTCGCCGGATCATCATGGAGAACAAGGGCTCCGGGGGCGTAGCAAACACGCCCGCACTTCCGACTCCACGACCGCCGGCTCCGTCACCTAAAGCCCCACGACCTGCAGCACCACGACATAAACCATTCACCCCGAAGGAAGCCAAAGCGGGGATCGAAACATGCACCCAGAAATTCCGAAACTCAACCCGCTCTGAATCCCTGACGGCTTTGTTCGAGCAAGGGCAGAAAACAAGTATCACGCAGTGCATCTGTCTTGACCTCGGCCCATTCATGAGCTTCGAGAACAAGAGCGCAAGGGAGACTTCAACACCTCTCTCCACCAACCAGCCATGCTGGAATTGCTCCTCAACGGTCAGACGAAAGACGAGAGAAATCAAAGTCTACTCCCAAGACCCCGTCTTCACGCGATCAGAACGCGACCACCTCCAACCCCGCGTCCACACCGTCCTCCACAACGACGACGCTTTCGCCAAGATGTCCAAAACCACATTCCTATCCGCGCCATATCTGGACGCGAAAAACATCTCCCGAGCGCTCACGGACACTTCTCCCTCAACTCTGTACATCGGCACCGACCTCGACGCCGCCATCGCGGACATCGGCAAGGACAACGCCAAAGAGTTTCCGGGCGGGAAGGAGAAGTGTTTCCGTCCGTTGCGGGAGTTCGGGCGAGACTCGGCCGAGACGCTGCGGTTGCCGATCTTCGCCCACGGTGTCCGAGACGGTCATGATGTCTGGGCGGAAGCGAGTGTTTCATTGGAGAGTGCCCGATGGTGGAGGGAAAAAGGTGGGAAAGCGGTTGGATGGGGGGGGGGGATGGCAAGAGCAGGAGTGGAAGTCGGAGCGCGACACTATCATCTGGTGCGGAGGGGAAGGAAAATGGAAAGGGAAAGGAATTTGTGATCGACTATTGGGGATGGGACGCCTGAAAAGAAGGGCGCTAGGAAATTCAAAAGAAGATAAACCACATTGATGTAGACGGCGTAGGATGTCCGCGAAAATTCCAAGAAGTCCGAGACAGACTGCACGTTGGTTCTTCGCCGAACCCCCCCGAGGCCGCAGAAACCTTCTGCAATCTGAATGGTGCAGCGCACGCTGTAATACAGTCCATCGAAAAGAAGGAAGGGACGTGGTATAGTACGACCGGATGTGACAACAATGGCCCTCGCAGTCAGGCTTCCCTCACGGTGCTACAGTTGACTCCAGCAAGCATGATGCGCGCCGGCGCCCAGGTCTAGATACCCTCCCATCTCGTGTTTTCGCAGAGAGAAAAACGCATCGGTAGACCGTGTCCGTCGCGATGGGGCGTTCTGCGCGCCTCTGCTGCGGCCCAAAGAAGGACAACCGTAGCGAGGGTTCGCGCGCCTTTTCCCTTCCGAAAACATGCATCTTGCGTCCGTGTATCTAATCCGGGTATCTCCGCGTCTCCTTTATACAAACATTCCCAGAGGTCATACAGAAGTCATCACCGGGTCGAAACTCCTCAGAACAAATTATCCTGCCACACCACCCGTTCCGTCACAGTCACAGTCGTCTTCACCCGGATCCCTCGAGCGGGCAAGGCTTCCTGCGGATTCCCCAGCTCGTACTCATCGCTCCCTGTATCCTGACCTCCGTAGACGTTGACATTGTTCCTCCATGGCGTCTTGGATGATCCACTGATTGCATCCTGCAATCGATCGAAGCTCCCATTCGTTCCCTTGCTGGGCATGCCACTCCTCCACGATGCCGAATAGCTCCTTTTATTGCTCGGCTGAGACGTCGGGGTTGGCCGGTAGGCTTGGCCCCAGATGATTTCTGACGAACAGGGGTCGTAGACTAGGTAGGCAGGCGCTGATTACCGCGACTGCTGGTTCCGCCGCCGTCCAGGTGGCTGGGGCCACGTAATTCCCTGATCGCTGTCAGTATTGAAGAACGCAGGCGGTTTGTACAGGTGAAGACTTACAGGTGATATCGAGCCGACCGAGTTGGGAAAGCTTTGCATGCTGAAATCTTGATAATATTATAAGTCGATTGATACTGACGGCGCAGACTCTGCAACGCAAGTCAATTTAACCCTTTTCGAGAATTGAAAGCAGCGAAGGAAGCTTACGTAAGGCCGACAGTGAATATAACTGTCAAGATCGATTTCTGCAGCTTGCCAGTGCGCAATCTCCACAGCAGTGGTATGGGCTTCGATATCTCGTCAGTATAGAAGAGGAAGCCTTTCTAGTGTGCAGACTCACCAATGCCAAGAGGGCGAAATCGGTGACTGTGTTGATGGCTCCGCTGACAAGGTAGAATAATTGAGTATTGACACAACGACCCCCCGACCGGGACTTGACTCCGCCTCCAAGGGTGGTCCAGAAGTCGTGGATTGGTGTACAAGTCCAGATCGATACAGGAAAGAGGGAGACTCCAAGACAAACAACGAATATGGCTGCACCAACGAGTATGCGCCTAAAATGGACGATGGGAAAGATGCGGTACAGGAACAATATCCTGAGACGTCAATTTCTCAGCCACCGGTTGAAGGAAGGCATATGGCGAAGCAAAGAAGACATACGTACACGGAGAATTTGACAGTAATCATGGCCATTATGAATGTCAGCGAGAAAGCATATAGGACCTTGAAGACGGCGAAAATGGTAGAGGCTGGCAGGATTTCGATATGCTCTCCGAAGCCTATGTGGATTGCTGTTGTTTCAGGTCAGCGAAAGCCATATGGGTGAAAACTACCATGACTGACCCACGATGAGAGCGATGCTTGGCCCCAGAGCGAATAACTGCACGAGGGTCAATGAAGTGCCACCAAGGAGTCATAAACCGACATACCCAAGCCAGTATCACGGCGTAATCATCGAACTAACTCCTCGTCAGAGCATATTCCTTTCCCTTCTTCAATCGCGCATTATCATACCCATAGTCCAGCACCTGCAATCCATCTCGACAGCAGGCGCAGGATCACCGCCAGAGTCGGGAGAACGAGCAGCACTGTCACCCCTGCCATCAGTGTATGGTACCGATTGGCATACAGCGCTGGGTCGGCGGCAGCACTCGGAAGCGTCGAAGAGTTCATGTCGGCGGGCAGGGTGGGAGTGGCATTGAGCACAGGCGACATGAGAAGGATGTGGCATGGCTGGAGTGGGAACCATATAATGATGCGACTGGTACGAGCCCTGAAGACCAACAGAAAGTTGGCGTACATGAATACGAGCCGCAAGCATTTTAGAGGGCAAATGATGCCGAAGCCAACATAGAATAGACTTTAAAGATTGCAAATACCATGTCTTGATTGATTCCGCAGGCATGTTGAGTAAAGACAGAAGTTCGATGGCAACGATGGGGCAGTAAAGGAGGCGAAGAATGGTCACACCTGAGTTTCCACCATCATTCAACAAGTCCCGATAATAAATAAAGGTAGTAGGTACCTTGATGTTATGGAAATCGCAGACGTGGACTCTGGCGATTGAGTTCGGACTACAATCGTACCACGGAACCTTATTCTCGTTAATCAGCGGCAAGACACGAGGTGGAATTACCTTAGCCCGGCACAAAGTTAAAACAATAGGGTACCGTACATTGACGATCTATTCGCACTACACGGAACCCGACTACCAAGGACTAACCCGCACTATCATGGACTGAGCGAAAGCATCACCGTTCTATCTCGACCTACGGCACCTCAGCACACCGACAGTCATTCTTCGACAGAGTAGAGAGGATCGACTTACCTAGGCCAAATGCAGCGCCGGCTTTACCTTTCGTAACACACATCTCATTGACAGCCACAGCTGCCATCCACATCTCGTACCAAGAGCTCTTGTCCGTGTCCCCCTCCTCGAAGTCGATGGTTGCAGTGCACGTTCCTGGAACTGTCAGGAGAACAATCGTCGCTAGCGAGCACGGAGAAGAGGAAGCTTTTTGCAGAAGTCTGAGACTGGCAGGATAAGACGCGTGCGTACCGCTTGATATTTTCCTGCCACCCCACGGAATAATCACGCTTCTTGGCCCAGCTGGTTTTCTCCCTGATAAAGACATAGGACGATCGATTGATCGGCATGGTTCCCAACAGTTTAGTGCAAATTGTCTCGTCCTCCAGTTCCGAGTCCAGCGTGCATTTTACATGCGGACTGTAGGAGGAGACTGAGATACCGAGTCCCTTCTTTCTACCTAAAAAGCAAGAGCAAGTAAACTTTCAGTCGAAGTATTGCTTCCCATTTCGAACGAAAGAGAAATACGAATTACTGACCTATGTAATTGCGATAGCCACCGATTGGAGTGTTACCTTGCTTTTTGGGTTCATCTCTTAAAACACATTTATCCAGGATCGATTTCGCGGCCGCCGAGATTTCGTGGTTCGTTGCAGTGTCCAAAACCACCTTAATCATATGATCGATATCGATAGCACAGAGACCATCATCTGGGTTCGAAAGGTTAGCCGCAAACCACAAACTCTCCCCCGAGCAACAGGAGACCAAAACATGTAGCGTTGAACTCACCGCTGAGGTAACGATACGGCAAGGGACGCTCAAAGTGGCCCATTCGTCGCGCGCCGAAAGAGACGAACTGGTTATCCGTAGGCATTTGATTCCAAGCCTCTTCACAGCTCGCCTTGTTCAGATGATACCCCCAATACTTCCCATCGCATTTGATGTTCTCATTGGCGGTGGTGTTGACAAGTTGTAGATTATTAGCCGAGCTTGATAAGTTGAGAAGATCAAGAGTTGATGATGTCGAAGATGATGGGACACTGATGGCTAAGTTTGGAGAAGGAGGGACTAGCCCGTGAACCGTGGTGATGAACATGTGTAAGAACACGAAACCGGTCAAGGAAGACATATCAGGGTATTTCAAAAGGATGTTTGTGAAAACTCGTCGAGCTAGATCCTAAAACCCTGGCCGTCGTAGCTAATCAAGAACAAACACTCTTAGGTGAGTATTCTCTATTCAGCCTCGTGTAGCAGCAGCAGGCTACAAAATCATGAAGAGCCACGTGTGCAGTACGGACGAAGCGTCTCATGTGTGTACTGCAGCGCCAAAGAGTCCCAAACGCGCCAAGCGGAGATGGAGCGCAAATACGTAACTCTGTGCAGACTTGAAGCGACCGGCTGCGCGAGCGACAGTTTAAGCGACGACCTCGCAAGGCGTCAGTCTGCCTCACGGTAAGATGAGCGTGAGGATTGGAGCGAGAGAGTGTGGAGATGGGAGCATGAACGGGAAAGATGCACGGGTAGCGACTTGAGCCACGCTATTGATTTCTCTTCTTGCGACCTGTATAGTTTCTTTCATTTTCACGTGGTTAACAAAATTGAAGCACAAAGGCGAAGGTACCTACGATACTTGCGAGTCGTCCAGCAAAAGGGGCATGTCACGAGGACAAAGAGTATAAACGGAGGCAGCGGGTTGCGACAGCACAGCTGCAAGTGTCCAGAGATATCCTAGAGACAAGAATATAGAACCATACAAGAGTCTACATCTTAAATCCTCATTCCCGGCACCTCGATCTGCAAGCTGCACAGCTCCATAAAGCGGGGAAGAAAAGTCAATAATTACATATTCAAAAATGAGACAAAGACCAACAAAAGCGACAGGAGTAGCATTCCGCAACGAGCAGAAAACTCCCGAGACATCTCTAAGCAGTCACGACCGGACTCAGCAAACTTCTCCCATATCCATCTCTCAGGCAAGAAACATATCCCACATGAACACCTACCCAACCCCAACGATGAACGATGAACCGACCCCACACCCCCCTTCAATCCACCACAACAGTGGCGTCTCCAAACGACACGAAACTTCTCCACCATCCGACCTCCCACAGCAATCCCACTCGCACCTCCCCCTCCCACACCAGAGACGTCCGCAAATGCAGAGACGGCCCGAGACCAAGCTGAATGGGAGGTTGATAGGTCCAGCTCCACAAGCTCGGCTCCCGCGACCGATACCTCCGCCCGCGAGTCCGGCGCCTCGGAGGAGCCGGAACCTCGACACGGAAAGACCGCGCCGCGACCGGATCCTGCAGCGACGGGGACTTTTTTTGCTTGGGATGGAGATGGGTCTTGGAATCGAACGACGGATTCCACACTGGCACGAGAGGCAAGGGAAAGCGGGAAAGAAAGAATCATCGGGAACAAAAACCCTGGGATGGTCAACGGTATAGATGTTGCTAAAGCTAATGATGCCTTTTTTAAGGAAGAAGCTGCAGCCAGAGCCGCTGACTGATTTCCTTACTAGCTTTCCGAAGATACGACAGGTCTGACGGCCGAGGCGCTAATAACTACAATGTCCACAATAGCCACAATCATCGAGACTGCATGCAGTGAAATCCTTGTCAGAATCATCCTCCTCATCATAACGTTGGTCATCGTCATCAAAGTCGTCATAGTCACCAGAGTCCCTCTCAGGGCTGCCCTGTTCGACTTCCTTGGATCGGTCATCCTCATCTTCAAGATCGTTCTCCCCCTCAAGATCTTTCTTCTTCAACTTGTGGCGTAGGTCGTCAGGTAGAGCGCTTTGGTGACTGGAGTTGAGCTCCCGTATCTCCAACACTCCGCTAGCTGTTCGCTTGACCCGGCATTTCCTCGTGGTTGAATGCTGAGCGGTGTCGATGATCCGTCGTGTGAGGGCATCCAGCTTTCGCAGGTTCACGGAATTCCGCTCCTCCCACTTCCCCAGGTCTTTGCGCACATCAAGAATCTGCACATCATCGAATCGGCCACCTTTATGATAAGCAGCAATCAAGTTTGGTGTCTGGGACATCCACAGTCGAGGTAGCACGCTTTCCATGTCCAGAACTTTGTGAGCAGCCCGAGTTTTGATTTCGATTATGGCTTCTTGATCACTTTCACTGCCTCCTTTACGAACAGTGAGCCCATGGCCCGCCATGGGCCGCTTTTCGCCAATTGTGGTCAAATTACCGGAGCTCAGCAAAGTCGTGGTATTGGCGAGACCGGCCATATTTCCTTGTCGCCATGAAGAAGCTTTGTCGAGTCCGCCGACAGTCTCCGCGAGATAGCCGTCACTCTCGAACCGAAGAAGGTACTTCAAACCAGCGAACTCATACTCGGCTATTCGGTGATGAGAACTCGATCCTTTGACCGCACTATCCCACCTTGTATATTCTTCTGGGAAGGTGTGCCCGAATCCTCGAAATTCATCGATGAACTCCGTGGCCTTCCTTTCTTTCCTGATGAAGACGGCCTTGTCCCCGATGATCTCGACGTCAATCTCAAAGCGCCTTGAGTTTGTCGTGACAAAATCAAAGAGTTTGCCCATAGTATTCCGGCAAATGACAACATCAACGTCGTCCAAGTCGAGCTCGGGATGCACCTCGTATATAGCACGAAACATTGGCTCCAACGGGAACGAACCGTAACGCGCAGCATTTTGGTCAATGAACACTTCGCCTTTGTCTGGTTCAAGCTTTCGACGATGAGCTGGAGGGGACCAAATCGCAGGAGAACCTTTGCAGTATGAAAGGTCAGCAGTCCGTTTCTCCCAATCAATAATGATGACAAGAAAAGACGGACATACCTGGGACAAGAATAACAGGCTCGCTGCTGTCGAGCCAGTTGTAAGATGCTATGCATTTGTAATTTGAGATATGTGTGAGGCCATCCGACGGCGAAATGTCGGCAGGGTGGAGCTCGACAACAAGGTCACCTAGTGGCAACTCATCAACATCAGGCGAAGGCGAACGATCTCTCTTGGTGTTTGTAATAGAATTTCGAGACGTGCCGCCACGTCCATAATTGAACCGATATTTAACGGAGCCTCGGCTCGACATCGATTCGAGAGGTAGTAGACCTGTAGAACGATTATTTCTATTCGCAACAAAGCTGCAAATGTGAACGATCTCCAACTCGAATTGGGAACAGGGTCGATGAGTGGACAGCAAGTTATTGATATGGTGTAAATCTTCTAGGTAACTGGAGAGTGTGGAGGTCTGGATGAGGGCATCAGAACTTACCTCCTCGGATGTGAAAAAGTGTAGAGCGAATCACGTAATGCCACGACAATGCATGCCAATGCAAGGATCAGAGCGCGATTTACTAAAAACGATAGCCAGTTCCGCTTGTCTACTTTGCCAAAACGTTGACGTGCATATGAGACAAACAAGGATAAGTCGACTAGTGGCCAATAGTTTCACCATCATTCAAAGATTGTCCATGTCAGCCGCACCATACTGCAGAAGCTTGATTCCAAACAGAGGAAACAGTGGACAAAGAACTACGCTCCTTGGTCCATTCGATCTGATTGGCGTCATTAGCTAGATACACTAACCACACCGTGAGCTGGTGGAGGGGAGCTCGCGGGTGACAAAAAGATTGGAACGCCAAGCCCGCACTGACGACAGTACGACTAAGGCATTAACTGATGAGGAGTGGACTAATATTTTCAGATCGTTTATTAACGAGAAAGTGGATAGTATACTGAATAGATGATAAGTAGTCGTAGACAGTAAAGGAGCAATGACAGGATACTTGAACAGAGATTTACATAGAAATTTGTATGTGTGTCTCCGCACAGTAATCTGGCTTGGTGTTCCAATCTTTTTGTCACCCGCGAGGGGGAGATAGAGCCCGGCTTCACTTCGGTTGATAGAGATTTAGCGTCTCGGTTCTATTGAATTATCTCCGAATTCTGAAAATCATACGAAGAAAGGCTCAAGAAGAAATCGTCAATCTTCAGACCGAACATACCTCAACCAAACCTTGCACTACTTCGCGCATCTCACATCCCTACCCCTCTCGCCCGACCCATCGCAACCATCTCCCCACTTTCCCCAACCCCACAATGTCATCAACAACATTCTCCCCTTCATCAACCAGTACGCCCCCATCCGCCCTTCCCCACCTCCCAATCCCAATCCCAATCCCAATCCCAACCACCACATGCCCGCAACATCCGAACCGACAATCCTAACCGCTTGTCCCCACAGCCCCCCCCACAGCCTCCAACATGTCCACGGATCTAAAACCAGCCGGCGCAGCCGCCGCCAAAGTCAAGGTATTCGCGCCTCCCACTCTCCTCCCCTCCCCTCCAACGGCTGTACGCTAACGTTAGTTGTTATTCGTTATCGGATAGCCGTGCTGCGTCTGCAAGGACGAAAAGGCCTCGCGCGACGAATGCATGCTGTTTAGCAATAGCGACGACCCGCAAGAGGCGTGTCAGAGCACGGTGGAGAAGTATCGGAGTTGTATGAAGGGGTTTGGGTTTAATATCGCGTAGAGGCGGGGATTATGGGGAGGGAAGGTTGGGGAAGGGGAGGGGATGGGGAAGAGAGGAGGGGTGTATGATATGCATGAGGAGCTAGAAGCATGGCAAGGGCGTTGCATTAAGGGCGTCATGAGCTGCATTAGATGGGGGTGAAGATCTCTGCTCTGGGATGTGAATATTGTGCTTCTATATGGGCTCAACGAAACAGCTATACAGCAATTGGGTATCTCGAAACATGTGCGCCCCCCTTCAACCACGTTCACGACTTTTTCGGCGTCTTGCCACTCCTCAAACTTTTCGTCTTGCTCCCATGCGGCGTTGGAGTTGACGCCCGCTTCTTCTCATCCTTTTTACCCTCCTTCCCCATCTCGGTCCGAAAGTCAAACCATTCCTGCAGAATCCCGCTTCGTAGCAATAGCTGCCACGTGCACCAGACATAGCAGATGCCAAATCCCGCCGCTCCGATCATTACATTCAGCACGACCCACAAATCCGGTTTCCCATTGGGAGTTTCGATAAAAGCCTCGGCAAGGTGCCATCCAACCATCGTTGCATAGAAGCCGAGGTGCACAGTGCTTGTTGACATACGGATACCGCCCTTCCTTGCCTGTTTCCCAAGGTACAGATCTAGGCTGGTGGGCGGTAATCCCATCAAATATGCCCATAACAGTGAGAGCACGAAGTATGGGATCCTCAATTCGTCCCTCTTCAGCAGCGGAAAAAGCGTCCATACAGCAAGCATATTCGCCCATCCGACCCATGCTCTCATCTCGACACCCAGACCACCATCTCCACCAAGCATCATTGTCATCGGTAGCAAAGGTAGCAGCACACTTTTCTCATGGACCTGAAACGAGCACAAGAAGAAGCCCCACGCACTGCTAGCTAAGGCCCATGGTATCAGTTCCTTTCTGGGTGAGGTAGAGATTGTCATGCAGGCGGGTAGAATGGCGATGATAGTGGCTAGTAGCGAGACGCGCTGTAGAAGCGGGATGGAATACGTGTTGAGCTTGTGAAGCGTATGCATGGCGCACCAAACATTGGCGACCTTGTCCTCGAAGAGGCCGCGGGCGAAGGGAAAGATGCGGTGGATACTTTGTGTGAGTTGTGATAGAAGCGAGTAAAGGTAGGAGTTGGAGCCGATGTATGGCAAGATTTGCAAGAAGATAGGGTTCACCTCTCGATCTGTAATGTCAAGCGGTGGCGGGATCCCTTTGTAATTATCGTAGAGAGAGCCGAGGAGTAAGGGGGCAAACATCAGGGCGAAAGAAAGTATAGTGACGATGGCTATTCCTATGAAGCGGCCAATGTGTAGCTTGGGAAGAAGACAGACGCCAATGAGGTAGGCAAACATTGCTGGGGCGAAGTATAGCGCCATCTGCTTGTAGCATAATGCGGAAACGAAAAAGACACAAGCCCACATGTAGCGATCTGATAGAAGACTTGACATGCT